TACTGTTGATCAAAACATACGGAAGGAGAAACCTGGTGTCAGCAACTAATGAACTGTGTTACAACTAACATCCACGGCTGTGCAAGGTAAGCATATTTCACAAGCAACAGTAGCACAAAGGAGGAAGCAAACAATGGTAATGTAAGATGTCTCTCTACTTTAGGACCACGGCTTTGAAGGATAAAATCCAATGTAGTATCTCTTTGTGGGGGTTACTTGCTATTTCCACTTGGTGTGGTGCCTACTAGTAACAGAGTGAATGCCTAATGCATATTTTACACACCCTGTGAATGCCAAATGGGACTGAGTTACACTTGCAGATGTAATTTTTATGGTCAATTTGCAGCTGACAAGTTATCTACATGAATATGTATTAGTGCTGAAGTTAACAATTTGTGCCCCTTTTCATTCTGGTCGATGAGTCCAATCCAGCTCAAAGTTTATCTACATGAATATGTATTAGTGCTGAAGTTAACAATTTGTGCCTCTTCATTCTGGTTGATGAGTCCAATCCAGCTCAAAGATAGGTATACATTAACTCAGCAATGCCACTTACAGATTTTTCAGATCTATTTAAGAAGGCATTACAGGAGGACAAACCAAACACACTCCACTGTCACTTAGGGAAGAAAACACTTCCTATATTGTTGAAACTTTTTAATGAAGAGTTGATGATTCAGAGTAGGTTTTTACTCTTTAAGTAATGGGCAATAGTCTGGAAAAGAAGTAAAATAATTTTCTTTCATAACATTTATGTCATCAGGTAACAGGCACTGCTGGTGGCAAGGGACTAAAATAATAAAAATCAGAAGAAAAAAAGACGTAAGTTTTCATTCATCTTGCCCTTTTTGTCTATGAAATTTAAGGCAAGGGAGGTGAAACCATGAAGAACTGCAATGCTCTGTGCAGATGTTAAGCAGTCTGAATAGCTGAGGTGTGTCTGCTGCTGCATGGCACAACTATCTAGGTAAATATGGACTTAAGTAAGCCATGTGTGTAAGAGCTCACAGCAGGACAGAAACTGCAGTCCCCCAGCAGTGAAGTGAATTACAGCCAGTCCTACTGAGCTCAGCTTCTCAGCTCCTGGAGGTAGCTCCTCCAGGAGCTACCTGGAGGCACCTTCTGCCTCCAGGTAGCTCCTGTTACAAATACTTGTCTTTGGTCCAACCTGTTCCTGCAAAGGGGCAGAAAGAAGTGCACTGGGACTCTCCTCCTTCCCACCCCAACCTTGGATTGTCTTTTGGATAACAGAATGCTGCTGGGACCAAGAGTAGCCACTCCTTAAAATGAGAAGAAACCATTATGGCCCATAATCAGATGGATTCTTTATGTTCTGCTCTACCTTTCATGCTTGCTCTGGCCCAGTGCATACAACTTGGCCCAAATTTTATCTAAATTAGATCATAAGCCCAAACAGAATAATATTGTTCTCATGAGTGCAATTAATACAAATTGCCATAAAAATCACAGTAATTTCACATTGTTTCCACTGTATTTACAAAATGGAAAGCATTAACTCACAATGCTCTGTTTCATTTGGAAATGTATGCATAAATGTAAAGGAATTTCTCGGTTGCTGTACTGAGGAAAGGTTCATTTTGCAGCTGTAGCCTCAATTATGCCTGACATCCATAACTAAGTACTTCAGTTTCAAAGGTTTTTTCACTGGCAACATTACATTTCCATATAAAATGCGTGACATTCTGCCCTTTTACGGTTTTATGTGAACATTAACTTCACAAATTTCTTTTCTCTCTCTACCCTTCTGTAACAATTTCTGCCAACAATTAAGAAACCACACTGACATTTGTCTTGAAAAACTATTTGAAAAGAATGTTTATTCCTTTCCTGACTGTTTTTCAGATCATGAATGCAACATGAATTAAGAGTATCTAAAAATGCATAATTAAAACATGTGAAAGTTTTGTGGATTTTATGTATCAACTGTGATCTAAAGAAGTTACATTAACCTAAGTTCCCACAGAAAAAGGGAGTCTGGCCCTGTTCCCATTAGCAGGAGGACCGGACATACATAATATGTAAGGCCACATAAGCACAGAAAAAAACCCAATACAACTATGACTGATTCAAAGTTTGAAATGAAGGAGAAATCTTGCCTACACAGTTTTCCTTTCTGCAAGATATCCAGTGTTAAGGTTAAAACATAGCAATGGAAATGGTGTTTTAGACCCACAGTTTATGACAGTATGTACCATGCAGGTGCTACACAGTGTATTTCGAAATGCTGGGGGTTTTTTGTTTGGTTGGTTTTTTGTTTGTTTTTGTTTTTGTTTTTTTCCCAACAAATCATTCTGATTCCTTGGAATTGGTGCACCATTCAACAAAGCACATAGAGTAGTACACAGCTGTAAGAATAGTCCACCTCAGGCTTCTCAGATAACCAGAGGATGCAGCCACACAGCCCCTTGTCCTCAGCATACGGCTCTGGGCTGGCTCTGGGTGCAAGGCACAAGAGCTCTTCTTGTCCTCATACTTCATTCAAACTCCCCCCACTGCTACAACACAAAGCTAACTCACCCCAGTGTGCTCACAGAGAAAGCCCCCTTTGTCCCACCTTGGTCCACACTCCCTGTGCTGAAGGCATTGATAGGCCATTTCAGCATGCCCCTAATGATACTCTCATGAAAACCAAACCAACAAAATCATCCCCCATGCTTCTCCAAAACCTGTAAGAAAACAGATCTCAGACTCTTAACAACATATTATCATCCTCTGCTTCCTTGTACAACAGCAATAGCAGAAGTCAAAGCTAGCAGAACTACTCAGTCATTACACCTTGTTTTGACAAACTGTCATAGAGATGACAATCCAGACTTATGACATCCTCAGAGAACACTCAGTCTAAACCAGGATCAGATGGCAACACCTCTTTCTCAATAAACATTTTTAAATGTTGTTGTGAAAAGCAGTGATTTTGTTCCAGGCTATTGTTGTCACTGATTTCAGTTCTGCTGGAAGATACTAGTATTGAAATAACTCTTTCGCAAGAAAATAATTCATTGCCTACTAGGAGCATGCAATAATTCTCTATGGAAAACAAGATCTAGCACTAGGGATCTAGTATTCACAGCCATTTTTCTTCAAGTTCTTAACAACAAAAGAAATACTTTTTTCAGGGTAACTGAACTGGAACTCGCTCAGACAGTGATGCTCTGGAAGGTTGGTGAATCTCTCCTGCCTGTGCAGGTGCCACACAGATCTATCTGCTCAGTCCATTGAACTTCCACCCCTCTTTCCAAATACCCCATTCCCTCTTCAGCACCTTCAGCGGTGAATGAGAACTCTGAAATCATCCAGGTTCCTCTTCTTGGAACACATTTATAAGGCTGTTCTGGGCAAGTATCTTTGCATTTCCTGAGTATTCACTCGTATAATCTCTGTAAATTGAACACTCATTCAAGGTATTTTAAAATTTAAGTTACAATTGTATTTAAATCTCTTCAACACAGCAGACTGCACTAACATCTTCATATGCAAGAACCAGCATTTATATTTCTCTTAATGCTTAGTCAAAATAATGAAGACATAAAAACCATCAAATGGCCAGAATCTGACAGGAGAAACTTTGAGAAAAAAATCTAGTACAAATGTTTAATGATGAAAGTGATTATTCATTTGAACAGTTTATCCAAGAATGTGGTAGATTTTCTATCAACCAAAGCCACTAAATCAACAAATTTTTCCAGCAGATACGCTTTAATTCATCCTGAAGTTACGGAAACTAGCACAGGATTATTAGGCAAAGTTCTATCATCCCTGTCATGCAGAAAATCACTCAGTCAAAATGATCCTTTTATACATTTCCATTTCTATGACTTGCAGAGATTTTCTGGGCTGTGCCACCACAGTCAGTTAAAGCTGAACTGAAGCAGAACCAGGATTATGCTTCCTAAAAAGACACTGTCCCCCTCAGCATCAGGGATCAGACTGCTGAACTCTGGTTTTCAGGTCTTTAGGACTCCTCAGTGCCACCAAGTCTGTAAGCAGCAACAGCTGCAGAAAACCCTACAAAAACAATGAAACACAAAATACTGCACACAGATGTGATCACAGTGATGCACGTATCTGTAACCTCCAGGAGGAGTTACCACAATCCTCCCTGTGTGGGAAGCAAACCACACACACTGTGTCCCCCAAGTAGGGGGCTAAAATCCTGACTGCCAGCCTGGAACACTATGCACCCATCAACTGGTGGCCCTGCTTGCTGAGCTGAGATCTCTGCCAAAATAACAGTTTGGAGAGCCTGACCTAATTAATATCCCAAAGGACTGGCTCTCATTACCTGTGGAACTGCCTCTTTCTCCATTTCATTGAGGGAGGCAAGTTATAAAGGAAATTCTTCCTCAAAGCTGACAACTTTCCAAATTACTACAACCTCTCATGTCTGGTCATGAGCACCAGCAGGTCACAGATCATGCAATGCTCCTCCAAGGCACCCCACTACAATTCGTGTGTGGGAAGGCAGACCAGGCTCTCCTGCAGACAACACTCAGCTGTTCCCCTCCATCCCTGCACCCAAGAGTTTTCTGGGTTAGATTGGTGGCTTTCAGCAGAAGACAATAAAGATCAAGACTCACACAATGTTGAGCAGTTAGTTACTTATTCACCAGTGCTGACCCCAAGCTGTGGGGCATGAAAACCTTGGAAAGTAACACAATCTGTTTGCATGTTCACAACTTCATTCACTTCTGTCTGCCCCAGTGCACAGAGGAAAATAATAATGTGTTTAAATTTAACTATCCCTTGTATACCAAAAGATATTCTTCCTGCCCTGTTAAACAAAGAATTGTACTGTACATTAATCCCAATGGAAAAAGGGAACAACTGCAGCTGTGAGTATGACTAACATCTGAGCCAGAGTGCTACACACAGCAAACAAATCATCTCAAGAAAATCTGTGAAGTTAGCTGTTTTTTCAGGCTACTACTGTGTATCTGAAAGTAAAATTCTATTGAGAAAAACCAGAAATTTATACTTACTGATACAAGAAATAAGATCATTAAATCTTTCCTTAGGAAAGACAGGATTTTCCAGCCCTCGGAAATAGAGCTTCAGTACTCCAGCAACTGAGTTAATGTCATGGTTACTTTGGTCATCTGCCAAAGGATTTTCACCTTAAAAAGTAAATAAAGTGAATGAAACACACATGCAGGAGTATTCTTGCATGGAACATTTTTATGAGTGAGTGACATTTTGGGCGGTTTTTGTTTTTAGTATGTGGGAGGTGGCAATGCAAGCATTCAAGTAAGATAATAAACACTAATTTAGAAATCCCAGGCTATGATTAAACTAAAAAAAGGCAGCCTAAATAAAGCTTCCTTAAAATTACATAACCTATTGATCTCTTAGGTCCTGAACTTCCAGCTAGGTATTTATGGACATGTTGTGATTTACACTTAGTAAAATAAAAAAGTCAAACACTCTTAACTGAATAGAGTTTTGCAGGCTTTTCTTTGGAGCCCTACATAAAACAAATGGAGTTAGACCACTCATTGAATTGAAAATGTGTCTTCATTCTAAAAAGCTAAAATATCAGGAGTATGTGCAACCACTTTGTTGAAAATCTAACTGAAACCTCAGCCATGACTGCACTGTTTTATTTATGTGATTTTAAATTATATAAATAATCTTTATTTTGAAACACTTTAAAATGTATTGATCTTCAAAGATAACACTACCTAGGAGGAGGAGCTAAGAATAAGCAGATTTAAAAGCTGCAGAATGGAGGGATGTGGTTTCACTTAGCAAGTGAAAACAGCTGCTTTATGTATCTTGTCAAAGAAAAGATCAGGTTTAACAAGATATATATAACTAATACTGGGGAGCAAAATACTGTGCATATTTTTTATGCTTTTAGTCACAAGACTTATTGCTTCAAGGGTTTTGTCATTTGCAGATGATCTGCAGAAATTTTAATTTTCCCTAGAAATTAAAACAACCCAGCTTTTAACACTCAAGAAAAAAAGAACGTAAGATTTAAAAAAGATTGTAACAAGTATTGCTTTAACACAGCTGGAGGATGGCTGGATCCTGGTTTCCCTAGCAGAGTAATCCCAGGCTGGGTGTTGCAAGCCATTGATTTTGAAAAACCTGGCTGTACTTCCTGGCATTTTTTGTGTAATTCCTCCTCTGGGGGCTGAAGTTTCCTTTGGGAATGAAAAATGGAATGACCCCTTTTTTTTACTCCCTATTTTCCTGGATCATGATGCAACTTTGGCAGAGGGGCCAGAAAGCTGAGCACTTGTATTCCAGGAGATCAAGCAACAGGACTTTCAAATTTCATTAAATAGTCTCTTGAAACAAATTAAACTCAATACCTTTCTTTTCTGAGGATCTTTAAAATAAAATACACAGAAATATCATTTGCAGTTTACCATTAACAAAAAACTAAACATTCACAGTTGACTGAAGAGTCATATGCCTTGTCTAAAGAAAATGAGAAAAACCCTCAAGCTCCTAGGACATAATGGGGGAAAACATGCACATGTCACCATTATACTTCATGTTTAAGCATGTGATGGTGGAAAGTTTTAGGTGAACTACACAGAGAAAATTATTAGAATTTAAAAGATTTTTAAATGTCAGATACTAAAGTGCTCAAATAAATGAAAAACCAATTACCTCTCTCAAATGAATTTTTAATATCATTGACTTCCACCTGGGAACCAGACACTCTAAAAATCCCCTGATGCTGAAGACCTGCAGAAAAGATGGAAGACAGCGCTGAAAAAGTAATTTATTTTTTAAGATACTTAAAATCTGTATTTTAAAAACAAAGCTGTGGTGCTAAATGAGTAATGTAACAGATACACAAAAAAAGTCAGGACAATAATGAAATGACATCATTTTTTTCAGAGCTTACCATATAAATTTATAAATCTGATACAGCTTTCCACAATAAGAGGAATGACTTGCCCTGAATCCTGAAAAAACAAGAGCAGAATGAGTGAGCTGCAGATCAGAAAGAGGAAACCTCCCTGCTATGGCCTCAACATGAAAATGCACTTTCTTGCTCAATCTAGATGGACATACAGTGCTGGCAAAAAAACACCTAAGATAAAAATACCACTTTTAACAGAGCTCTCTTCCTATTTAGGGAGGGAGGAAAAGGAACAGGTAAAGAAAAGGATTATGGTTCTTAAAATAATTTCTTCAGGAAATTCAGTTCTCTACCTCTGTCATTGTATCTGGCTAACACTGTATGTGACATCTAAGCTCATGCATGCATTTTAGACTTTTGAAGCAAAATGAGTTAAAGCAGTAAATCTGCCTTTTAAAAAGATTATTATTAAGAATAATAATTAATGATGGAGATGATTCCTCTGTATCCATTTAACTGACCTTTATTTTCCTGGTGAAGAAAATCCTACATGGACCTAATTACACAGAACCCAATTCCTCAATGTGGGGCTTTCTTTTTGCAAGAAGTTTATCACAAACCATTTACAAGGCTTTTCTGGATTTGCTGGACTATGAGAAACATTCTTGGAGCAGAGCCACCAAGTGACATTGCACGGGGTACCATGATGTCTCCCTCCTGACTGAGGGCACTGCTATGGCTCTGCTGGTTTGTGCGCCCTGCCATGGGGCAGATGATGGGCTGGCATCTTGTTTCTGGCTGCTCTAAATGGCAATCCTCAGGTGGTGAACTGCAGCTACTCTGAGCTGAGCATGTGGTCCAGCTGCTTTGTCTCTATGCACAAGGTCACTGGAAAAGGGAGGTCACAGCCTGAACCTCCCCACCAGCAGAGCTCGGAAATCACAGCTCCTCATCTCAGCAATGACACAGCAGTAGGTCTGTAGCTACATTTTCAGTTACACAAAAGTGTTTTAAAACAGGATAAAAAGCATTTGTGATGGCAGGCGGAGAAGATGACTATACACTAATAATATTGGTGAGTTGTCTTTTTTTTTTAAACTGCTTATTTTCCAAAATAACCACTGGAAACCTTTCGTTTTGGCACTTTAAAAAAAGGATATTTTAACTCAAGCACACTAGTGACCAGAAGTTATCAAATACAGATTAAAGACATAAATTATATGATTGAAAAATTATTTGGAAAAGTTGGTGCTTATGCTGCAGAAATTACTGTTTCATAAATAATGTTAGAATTTCTTGTCTTGGAAGCTGTAATTTTTCTTTCCAAATGAATTTCCAATATGTAAGTGCTCAGAGAATTGACTAATTCATTTGGAAGTTTAGTATAAAATCAGTCTGAATTATAAAATCATTAATTCAAAAGGACCTTGTAACTCAGAATACACATTTCCTATTACAAATTAGTACTTCATTTTCATGTTAAACTACACTAATGAGAAGTTCATGAATTAAGCTCAAGTAGAAAAAACAAGTAAAATGTTTGGAAAACAACACACAGTGAAGCAACTGCACTTCCTGAGGCAACCTAACCCCCTAATCTTACATGGACCCTGTGCTTGTTTTAGTGGGGCTTACAAAAGACTGTTATCACTAACTATGCTGTTTAAATTGTAGCTTGTTTGTCTTTTAATTTAAAACCTAGCAAAGACTGGCTAGCCAAGAATCAGTAATGGCTCGATTAGCATTTCCTCTTTGACTTGTGTCATGATCCAGTAACAGCTAAATAAAAAACCCCTTGGATCAGGTCAGCTGTTAAACCCAGGAACACCATAATCTTCACCAACACGGAGCAGAGTATTAGCAAAAATGCACAACATGCACCCACATCTCTTGTTAGTAGTTCATGGTTCATGCAAAGAATGTAAAGCCTAGGAAAAGGTAGTGTTTGCAGTAAGAAATTACAAAAAAACCCAAAACCCAAATCACTTTCATACCTATTTTTGGAGATCTGTTCAGAACCACACTGTACTTTGTACTTAAGTAATACCCTAAAATAATCTAAACTAACAGCTTTGCCTTTTGGATCTAATCAAAGGAAAATAATTTGAAGTAACAATCTGTGTTGGTGTGTGTCAAGAACAGGGACCCTACCGCTACTGTGAATTTAATCTGATGTGTGCAGTCAGTGAATGGATATTTTTGATTATTTAGAATTTCTTACGATGTAAAACTCAAACAAAAAAACAGTTTGGCATGATACTGTATTTCACTAGCTGTGCCTGTCAAAATGACTCATCCCTACCAGTAATGACATGGTCTTTGGGCAGAGATGCTGTCCTAACGTAGCTCCCACATTGGCAAATCTGTCATAAGGCTACCAGCTTTTTTGACCTTTCCTTTTGAAAGCCTAATTATATAGGGCTCCCCACTTGCAAGTAAGCCCTGTCAGCCACAATGCCATGTTCCCTTGTGAGGGAATATGATGGGGGACCATTTCTCTGATTTGCTTTGTCTTCTCTAGTCTAGGGGCTTTCATTGTGAGAATTTCTGCTTCCTTGCTTACTTTCACCCTTAAGCAAGAAACTGCTCATAATACTCATCTATTACTCATGTAATGATTTCTCAAAGTCTTTACATTTCATGGCACCTCCTGTGTAACAATAAAAATGAAAATAATAATAATTTCCCCTTTAGTTGTACTGACGATGACTGAAAGCTTGATTCCAAGACAGCTAAATCAGTACAGTGCCACCAAGCACAGAATTTGCTCGGAAAAGTGTTTGCCAATAGCTATACTGAACAAGAAAAAAAAAAATCTCTGTAATATTCAAACCCAATTCACAGAGCTTGAAGTCAAGAATTTCATTAATTGCATTTATAAATGTATTTCTACAATTTTTAAAAGATTTCTTTCCTGTAGCTGTGTCAGCTAGTGTCCAGAGGCACAAACTGTTATGTGGCTGAGTCCTTGAAAATGAGTAAGAGAATATCCATCATTTAAGACTACAATCCCTCCAGAGTTCTGCTCTGGTTTAGTTTTGCCTGCTATATTTGTACACTCATTTCTTAATGCAAACTTCTCCCTCCAGGTCTTTGAAAGAACTCATTTTGAGCCAGGCAGGAATGCAACCCGAGAGCGAGGCAGAGCTGGTTCTCTTGTCACCAGAACTATACCTGATGTCTCGTGTGAGAGTTCCTTCGGCCTCGGCTAGAAGCATTATTAGAAATAAAAGTATGAGAAAGAAGAAGATAGTAAATACAGCAAAGATACAAGATCCAGAATAGCGTTGATCACAATTTCACACAATATAATAAATTCCTAAAGTCATAGGAAATCAAAATCTGGACATCAAACCCTGGGAAATGCTGCTTCTCCACAGACTTTGAACACTGGATGTTATGAAAATAGCAAGCAGGAAATTGTGGTAAGTTGTGGGCTGTACCACTATATCCTACCTACTACATGAAGCAAAGTTTCCTACTAAAAGCAGGCTGACAATACTATTCCTACTTGATTAACACAACTGTAGGGAGGCTAATGTGAGAAACGAATCCCTCTCTTTCCCTTTGACTTCAGGAAGTATTATATTGATCAACTGGGAAAGAAGAGCCCCAGGACAGACTTAAACATAATGATCTGCCTCAGCTTTTGCGAGGTGGTGACCATTATAGTAAGAAGTGTTGAGATCAGCCACTGGGGTGGCTGGTGCCAGTACCTTGATGAACGACTCCAAATCACCATTAAACAACTTAGCACTATACTGTGATCGGGGTCTGGGCTTCCTGTGTTTCTGGGGCTTAGGGGGAAGATTTGGAGGCCTAAGGGAAGGGAATATGATTACTGAGCAAGGTAGAATTAAGTCATGCAATAAAATGAAATGTCTGTAAGCTCATGGCAAAACAACAGAACACTGTAAAGGGAGAAATAAACACAATACTTATCAAATAAAGACTTTCCATCAAATTTAAGTGTACCACATTAAAGAGTGGAGAACTGCCCATTAAAAGTTACTTATGGATAAATAATGACATTCTTTATGAATCCCTGTTTTGCAGTTTTATCATATAAATTTATTCCAAACACTGCACAATCGGAATGGCTTTTTTTGTGGTGGTCATGCATAAAATGTGCAGCAACCACTGGAATTCATCCTGCCAGCCATGGCAGAACACAGACCACTCGAAGCACCTCTTATCAAGCAGAAAAGTTGCTTCATGCTGGAGAAAATTCAAATGCAAATTAAAGCTGCTCAGCACACTCCTAAGATGCTTCAAAACCAAACTGTCTGCATTTTCTGCTAGAGCCAAGAAGGTTAAACAGCTTTAGCCTTGCACATCAACAACTTCACACATGAAAAGAAACACCTTGCTAATTGGCTAATGGAATTAAAAATATATCAATTTGAACAAATAAATAAAACCAGTATAACACATAAAGAAGTAAAGGAAGAACACACAAAACTTTGGTCTGCAAAATTTTACCTAGTGTGTTACACGTGATGACTATGACTGAAAGAGATTACAGCAAATAAATACTGTTCTCTAGATCACAAACTATTTTGTGAATGTCATGCCAACAGTTAAATGCCAACAGCTTCCTTAGTTCCCATGCACCAGCAGTTTCTAGAGGTTTTTTTGGACTTAGCAAAAAATCAAATGTTTTTGGGGGATCAGTGAGAAACAATAAGGCATAGAGCATTCAGCAGTGGGACTTTAGTTTGTTTGAATACTATCTGCTATTTTAAACTCATCTTTAAAGATATCTTCTTCCCTTCTACAATTTAACTTTGACCTTAAAGAACATTGTCTCACAGTCCAGAAACATAACTGAACCTTGGGGCAACAGGCAGGGCCCAGCCAAAGCCCAGGAGCTGGTGCTGAGGAACAGATGGGCAGGCCCTACTCCTCCGAGTATTTTTCTCAAGTGACCAGCTGTAACAAGATATGAGGAAAGATGGCTTCACTGCTCCTCCACTTTGCTAAGGTAAAATCATTGCCTAAATCCACCATCTCCTTTCAGCTGTTTACACAGCAGGGAACTTAGGATCATGTGAGCCTGATGAGTCGCCTGCATTGGAGTCAAGAAAGGAGGTTTTTCTCATTAGACATAAACTTGTTGATTTCCATGCATTCCTGGAATGGTAGCACCTGGAGGCAGAGTTAAAGGTAGTTGTCAGAATTAATGTCAGCAATTGGGAAGAATGCTCTGATTTGTAACCACTTTTCAACTGAGGTCAACTGAAGTCATGTAAGCAAAGAAGTTGAGTAAGTCCAACTTAGTTACAGAGCTAATAAAGAACATGGAGTGGTGGGAGAAAATCCAGTGTAAAGTCTGTAGAAATGTCCTGGAAACATCAGGACCAGGAAATACGGTTCTTGAAAGCATTGGGCAAGGATGTATTGCATGGAAAGGGAAGGGAAGAGTGAGACCAAGCAAGCTGGACTGGATGTTCCTGCTTTAGCAGGGCACACTGCCTGTAGCAGTGATACATACAAGTGGCAGCTGCAAATTCAAGCAGTTGCCATTGCCCCCTCCTAGTCTCCGGGGGCTGCAGAGCTCATCCAGGTTTATATCTGGAGGCAGCTTCAAAGCTGTGGCATTACACAACTGAAAAAGTACATGCAGCACAAAGCTGGGAGATCTAACACTGAATCCCTTCTCCTCTGCGGATCTATAGAGCCGTTTCAGTATGGAACACATGGATGCTGGGGGAGGCAGGTATTTGTGTTCAGAGCCAGGCTATCAAAGACACAGCCCATTGCCCAAATTGATCTTCCTACCAGCTTCTTTTAAACTGTGTATCCTGACCAACTGAATTACAAATGATGAGAGGCAAGGTATCTCTGACAACTGAAAAATATTTCTTTTCGAGCACTTAAGTCCCCCCTGCAACTTCCAAATTTGATGTGTGATTCACAAATATTTTTGAGGATCTCCCAGCTTGTCCCACCCTTGACACTGGCCAAAGCAGCTCACAAAAATGAGGAAGATGAATGGTCTGATCCTTTACTCATCAGCATGCTGAAACAGAAATGCTGAATGTTAAAACACACAGGGTCTGTACATAATTTATGTAACAATAGCAACAAGCCTTACAAAGTTGTTCTAAAATTTGTTAATTCTAAGATTTTACCTATTTTTTAACTCTAAACTAAGTCAGATAAAGATATCTTACCTTGTTGTCATGTATTCAGCCCTGTGACCTAGAAAGTTAAATAAACAGGAAACAATGATTTGTAGGTTTTAGGTTGAAATTTTTGTATCTAAATGATACTTAGCAAATTATTTTTAGCCCTAACTTTCCGACTACCAGCAAAAGATATACAACTGTACAACAAACAGGGCACAATGGTTACCTACTATCTCCACAGTTCCACTTAAAATACAAATAGAACCCATGTTATGGAACAACTTTTAAGAAGCAAACCCAAAGATTTAGATTCACTTGATACTGTAAATAATTTCAAGTAAAATTCCAAACAATGTCTATTGTTGGTGCTCATATGTTTCAGTGTCTAAATCAGTATGGAAATAGAGCTGTGCCAAGATTAGATTACATCTCCCACTGTGCCTTGTGCCTAAACGTGTTCAGTGCTGAAAATGCAGGGCTCTAGACATGAGTAGTTATTAAAAGACTGCCTACTCTGTGTATTACAGGAAAAAAGTACAACACTATCACTGAGAAACACCACAGAGAACTGCAGGGAACTGTAAAGAAACAAATATCATATTCCAGAAAGGCTCCTTGGCAGATCAACAGACCAGTAAATCAGGCATGACTGACTCATCATAATGAAAAGCAAAATAATGAAACAGGACAAAGATCATGGCATGGTAAGTTCCAATGAGCCCAGCATTGCCAAAGGGAGATTGTGCCCTATTAATTTATTAAAAATCTCTGAAAATGTCAGTAAAATACTAGATAACGAAGAATCAGTTCAATTAATTTACTTAAGCTTTCAAAGGCCACTGATGACTTTTTTCACAAGAGGTGATGATAGAAACTAAACAGCCATGGATAGAGTGGCAAAATATTCTCACTGATCAAAAACTAGTGAAGAAAAGGAAACCCAGTGGACTTATAATGGTCTTTTTTCATCATGGCAAAAAATGCAACAGCCATTTACTCAAACCTTCCTATTAGGACCATTTATGCAATCCAGAAGGCATTTATTAATATCTTGAGATGACAGCAGCTAAGAAGTCAGAGCACTGTGCAGATGACTGAAATACTTTTGTATCAAATAATGACAAAACTGTGAAGCCCTTAAAAGGGATTAAGTGACACACACTGCAAACAAAATTCACTATTAACAGGTTCAAGTAAGGTATTAGTGAAGAATTAAACACCTATGCCAGTGAACAGATCCATGGATATGATCTCTGAAAATCACTCTGAGCTTCACTTGGGCTAGGTCCAAGTTTGAAAGTGACACCAAACCAGCTTTTCAGATGCCAGGAAGAATGAATAACAGTGATATGAAAAACATGCTATTATGTGCCAGTGTTCAGATGCATGCAAAGTACTGCACAGTACCGAAGACCCTAGTCTGAAAATATATTTTGCAATACTACAAGAGTGTGGATCCCCTCAAAGCGGCACAAAGAAAAAGCTCTGGGAACAACCCCTGACAGTAAGACACATGAATCTTGCTGGCATCGATGTTAGACAGATGAAAAAGAGAGATCAAAGAAGAGTATGAAAAATAACCTATGACAGAAAAAGAGTAAGCCAGGGACCTCTCCCTACTCACGTTACTATGGGAAACTCGCTGAGACTAAGAATTCCAATAATAAATGTCAGTAAAACAAAAGATGTTACAAATGCTGTACCTGGGGGCTTTTAAACACATCTTTGTTATTTAACAGTTTAGGGTAAAAGGTGTCTGGGCCTTCAGAGAATTTCTTCTACAACTCCTTGTTTTCTTTCCTGCATTTCCCTTTGCTTTGTTGATTTCTTCTTTCAATAGATGAGCCTTTGGATCAGGACTAATGTAGGCATCAGTGTGCTTCCTATGTTTAGTATCAATTTCATTTCAGCATTTCTTATTTACTTTCCAAGTCTGTAGAAGCAGACTCAGCACAGAGCACTTCATCTATCTTCCCTGTGCAGATCATGAATATGTATCTGCTGTGTTCATAAACAGTAAGACTGTAGTAGGCAGGAGATGAACCAGAATAGAAGCCAAATGCTGTTAACACTGTGGGCAGCAGATGGGAACCTGGATCTATTCAGCCTACATCCTTACACTGTATAGTTTTGAATGAAAGCAAGAAAGGGTGCCAAAGGAAAACTTGCAGTTGAGACAATCCTCTCCTTCTCCCACTTTATTTAACACAGCACATTGTGTTATTTGTCTGCAGTCCTGCTGATATTAAAGTTTCCAGAAAAGGCAGTTTGAGGGGAGCAGGGGAGCAGTCCATGTCCTACAAATTAATTTCTATATTAGCTACAGCAATAACATTCATTATACCACTGTAATTAGATCCTTTCAATCCTCCCCATTCAAGAAACTTTCAGAATCCAGGTCCTCCATCCAAGGCATGGGCATTTTAATGCAGGTCATGCCTCAACTGAAGGAGGTACTAGAACTTCTTAACCTGTAAAAATGATGGCTCCAAATATCAGTTTTGAATGTAAATGTGTATGTTTGAGGTACTATTTGTATGTGCCATGCTATGGTGTTGGGACAACAAATATGCACAAAACCACTGTGGGCAACACAGATTAACTACATGGGGGTTACAGATGGTGTGTAGAAGGGAACTCTTCAAACAGAATGGTCCAAGCATGCCTCAGCATGGCAGAATGGCCCAGAGCCTAATGGCAATTTATCACTTGGGTCACCCTGCTGAGAAGTTTTTCTTTATGTTTCCTTTCAAACAATTCTTTCCTTACTTTTTTTTCCAACATGGTTTATGTAGCAGATTCTGCTGCCTTTTATCTCCCTCCCTTTCACTGTATTTTTCCAAAGACATTTTCAATGAGCTTCCAGGAGAAAAACGTCCTCTTTTTTTGACTAAAGCCAGCTGCACACTGTTTTGTGTGAATAAACCATTCACCACACACATTCAAAATAAAAATCTATTAAATGAAAACTTCCACGAGAAAGAAGATAACATAGGTAGCTGTCTAAAAACAGCTACCATCTTCTACAGTTCAATTTTGAAAGAAAACTTATATCCTATCCCCAGCCTCAGTCACTCCCTGGACAGGGGCTTTGTTTGAGTGATAGCCACTGAACTGCTAATAGGTGTTCTGGGCTTTTGTATTAAAAGCAAGAACAGATGTGATTAACAACAGATACTTGGCAGTAAAAAGAAAATAAGCTGACACATCTTTTAGAGTAATTCTTTTAGCAAACAGGTTTTCTTTCTTGAGTCTAAACTTTAAATCACAGTCTTTAACTTCCACAAGAAGATTTTTGTTCTTTGTGGTGTAACCTCACTTCCTCTCAAGTCTGCTCCACTCTGTGTGTCTAGTTCTCAAGGTTTGTTCTGCAATTCCCCTTTTCCCTTCAGTGCATGAGGAAGTGCCTGTTGGAAGGGCTGGTAAGAGGCTGGAGCTGTGCATAGTGTGTGATTCATTAAAACCTCAAGTCAACAGAAATTGTTAGGGTCTAGAAATACTACATTTGTCACAGCTCTTAAATAAACCTGCACTGACTGTGTCACTCCTTTCAGGCATGAGATTTTTCATTCAGTAGTTCTGTTGCCAAATAGAGTCATTTATCTAAACATCTGTGCAGTGGAAATAAGTATGTGTTGAGGAACTAAAATCAATTTATTGTGTATACTCTTACCACTGCATCAAACCTGTGATTGGTAAAAATCAAATCTATGTTTACTGGACAATTAAATTTTAAGTTTTGTATTTTTTTTCCTGCATATCTTTGGCATTTCAGGAGGTTCGCTGTATAGTTTGGAAGCACTTTTCAGTTTATTCTGGGATATTTACCTTCTCCGAGTGTCCTCTGCAGCAAGTCATGTTTTGCTTGAAGTTTTGTGATGAGATTGCTACCTTCCAGATATTCTCTGAATTTCTGTAGAGATGCAGATGAATCTATTACTATGCATGACACATAAATCCCAGGAACTTCTGGATAATGTTTACTTCAGGTGTTTGGTCTGCATCACATGAATGAGGAAGCAACCAACATACCATGAAATAGAACTGCTCTGTTTCCTGCTGGTTAGCTCTTCTTTTTGCAATGCTAGGCTTACTCAGGTATGTCTCAGAGACTGTTGACTTCACAGACTCTGTTGAGCGACTGTGCTGGAAACACTCTGACACATCATAATCTTCAATGGTGACCATATCTTGTATTGTCTGCAGGGTAGCTTCTGTTGTTTTCTTAACCTGGTATTAAAAAGCAGAGTTTGCCAAATGCCAGATAAATATATACAGGAACAGCTTAGAAGGGAAGCTCATTACTCACAGTAACTCCCTGGCACACTCCCCCAAACAAACAGGTGTGTAAATGTGAAAAGTCAGGTGTGCTAAAACAGATATCTATGTAACAGATATCCTGTCTAGTTCTCTGCTTCACCATGGTCTAAGCCACAAACACAGATGTACCCTTGTGTTGGCTCTGTAGTGCACTCACGCATTTGTTTGAAATTAGAATTAAAATGTGACATGATTTGTTTAAGTTCCCTTATCTGGAGGCAATAGAGATGATACAGCACTCTAGAGGGTCAGCTCTCCTAAACATGGTCAGTGTGTTATATCAAATATCTACATCCAGGGATCTGGATCTAGCCAGAACAACGTGATCTTCTAAGGAAAAAATCTGTGACCCTGTACTGTGCAGTGCTGTGATGAGGGGCAGAGTGATGTTCAGACTGCAGAAATGGAATTCATGGTTGACAGAGAGGGCTCGAGAAAGAACAATTTACACCAGACTCCCAGCCCTCCTATGACCTATGGAGCACCACTGCCCACAGTGGAAACCTGGGCATGGATGCTGTGGACAAGGGATGCAGTTTCCACAGTTCAATAAAGTAACGGGTAAGATTCACAAGGATGGGATTTACTTCCCAGTTTTGCTTCAGATGGAGTCTCTAGTAGGGCCAACCAAATCATGGACATGCCTACACACAACTCCAATGTAGTCAAATATCCCTTCCATGCCTGTCAAACATGATTTCTCCCTTTATGCTCTTGCACTTCATTTCACTGAAAGAAATTATCTTTCTCCTTTCATCTTTGTTACCTTGAGAGACATTCTGAATGCAAGTGTTTTGGTTTTTTGGGTTTTTTTTAATGCTACTGTACATGTCTCATAGACATTAATACTTTGTTCTAGACATTCAACATACAAACTAGAATGAGAAAAACTGGCATCCTGAAAACTTAATATCTTCTTAAGAAGAAATTAAATTATTTCTACATTTTCTTTTAGGAAGAGATTCTCATGCAAACTGAAGGACTTCAACATTGCCTCAACTGTGATAAAAATGCATTTTATTTCCACTGCCAGAGAAGGGGAAAGAGAACAGCACAGTTTTTCCATATTTTACCAAAAAAAGCATTTTATTTTGCTAGGTGAGCTGTTCCCATCACAGGCATTCATTAATCATGTTTATAAATAGCTGTAGCTGAGAGCATAAGAGATCTTGACTCAGCTACCACAAAAGACAGTTCAAATTCCTTTGTACTAAAGAAGTAGCAAGTTGAGGACTGGACAGAGGGTGGTCACAGGAGACAATAACTGTTCTCAGTGGCTTTCTGTCACAAGAATTTAAAAATATGTGCTCTAGCAAGTTTACACTGAAGCATCTACAAAACACAGAACTCAGTAATGTGAATGTATGGACAGGTAAAAGACAAAGTTTCCAAACCTCTGTAAAGCAGGTGAGGATCTACCTTAGCATATGTGCCAGTATGTGTTTTTTAAAATTAAAACCACTTACACAGATTGGAGCCACCTCAGGGTCATTTACATGCTTTTGGCAAGGTAGGAAACACTGCACCTTCCTGAAAATCATGTTCAATGCTCAGCCCTTGTAGACATAGGTCTTACCTCCTCATTTTCAATTTTGAGTGTAGCCAATCGTGACTGTAGTTGTTGATACCTAAGCATAAGCTCTGCTTGCACAGGTTGCTGGGCAGAGACCTGGCAAACCTAACAAAGAATCAAAAAGAGCTGTAAGATGCAAGTAATTAAAATAACCAGTCAATAGTCTTGTTTTTCTTAAAACTAGGTGAATAGCTACCAAAGCTATTAAAGCTAAAACCTAATAAAGCAGACAATAAAACATGCCCATCTAAATTTAAAGTACTTATGTGCTGTAAGGTGTGGAAGTATGTACTACAGCTTCCGAATAAAGAACACAGCATTTTTGTATGTGTGCTTTTTGTGGCTTTTGTATCACACAGAAATGCAAGTTACCTGGAGTTACCATCAGAAAAAAATAGGCACATGGGTGATTTCAAATTCTGCTTTGCTACTGGCCTTTGGTGTAGCAGAAGAGGGCACAGCTGGGGTACCCACTATGCTTGAAATCTCCAGATGATAAAATGGGGGAAGAATAAGGGGAAAGGCTGCATTGCAGCACGAATAATTTGGAGCGGCTCTGTAGCTGCTCTCAAATAGCACCCACAAACTCTGAGTGATGCAGGTAGTAAAGGCAAAGTCGCTGCTAACACTGGTGCTGGGCTGAGCACAGGTTGGCCAGCAAATTTATAGCAATGTCATTATAAATGATACAGAATACAGTAACACTTAACAGAATTTACATGAGAACTTTGAAGCAGCAGACAGTGCTGCAAGTTTTGCAAAACATTCTTGCTGATCCACTGACTTTCGGGTAGCTTTTACCAAACTCTTTGTAAAAGTGTTTGGTAAATAATAAATTCTCTATCCTGTTATACAGAAACAGTCACTTGGGGATACTTGTCAGTGTACAGACCTCATCACCCATATGAGACTGGAACTCAAATTTCATTGGTGGACAAAAAGCAGTAGGGTACATTTCCATGAATCTTTGCTTGTCACTGCGTGGCTCCAAGCAGTCAACTGCATTTTCAATGATGTCTAATCCCTCATGCCTGGAAGTTTCAAGATTATACTCTGCAGAAAGGTATGTTCTTAGGGCTCTGTTCAGACTAGCATGGTATCCAAGATCACAACACTAAAAAAACAATAAAGGGAAAAGAAAACCAATTTAAAAGGAGAAACGCCATTCCAATATCACAATCCTGAAACTGTCACTAAAATTTTCTGTCCTAAATTTTTTCTATCTTTGAAGCATTTAACAAAATATCTTCTAAATTAAAATACACTACTGGGATCAAGACACTAAGTATTTTGTATCCCCAATCTGTTGCAAAGATTAATGGACAGTTTTAGAAAAGAGATCAAGTGTACATATGTGACAGTTTGTTTATCAGATACCGAAGTGCAGGCACTGTATATCAATAACATCTGGGACTCCACAAACAAGTGGGCTTTTCAGCATCAGCAGCATCTGTAAGCCCTGAATCACCTATTTAAACACATGCTAACATAACTATCATCTAAGTTAATGACAGCAGCAAAGTGAACTTGAAGCAATTACTGCTTCCATGCCTGTGCCCATACCAAAACCTCCACAAATACTTTCAGCATAAGCAATCCATCTAAAATGCTTTTTCATACAACAGGAAAGGTTTAACATCTTTTCCCTGATCGTGAAAATGTATTCAATGTAAACACCTTATTTCCCATGCTCATATAGAGCCAGAAATATACATCATGTTACTAAATGCAGAAAGTCATAATTTATGTATTTTTTTCCTATGAAATGGAATGTAATTGAAACCTAATTGGCAAAACATAAAGTTGTGTTTGTTCTTGAATTTTAAACATCCTCAATTTGAATTATTCATGTTACATTAATATTTTAGAGAACAGCTGAATATATTAAAAAAATGTCGCAGCAGTAGCATATCAGCTGATTGTTTCCCTACATTACATTGTACAGTAAATACCCTGAGTTTCTGCTCAGTGAGTCTCCAGGTAGGGGGGGAGATGTCACCTCAATAGTGGCACATCAGTTTGCTAACAGCTGCTTACAAAGCAGTGCTCTTTATTCAAACGGGTGAGATGTGCCCCAACCAGAGGCCAACGCCTGGCCAGAGCAGTCAGAGCATCCTGCTTCAGGACATCCCTCAGTCCCCAGCCACTCCTCCTCATGCCCACCACAGCCTGAAGTCCCCCATCCCTGCAGGACTCCCAAGGTACCTATGGAGCTGGGGAAAGAAGCAATTTGAATTCAGTCCACTGTACCTTATATGTATACATGCACTGTTTATATGAGTTACTCCCTCACAGCTATTACAAACCCCACTGGATTCATGGGATCACATTCCCCTCTCTTTCCTCTTACTTAATTGAAAAAGGAGAGAAATAGACAGAGAGGGAGACAAAAGGAAAGAGCTTTCAACCTATTTACCGTACCAAAATCTGCATGTAGAAGGGGATTAAACACTTCACTGATGAATAGAAGGGAATTAAACACTTCACACCTTGACCTAGGCAGGGTAATGACTAGTGATGAAGCTGCTCTCTGAAATCTAACAGAGAGCTGTTTAATTCACAACAAAGCTTCCAGAAAGACTAAGTTTTCACTCCTAGCAAGTACTCCAGGGAGTGACTGCAGCTGGGACAGTGGCTCTCTGAAAAACCAGATGCTGAACGATTCAAACAAAATGAAAAAGATGTCATGTTCAATCACACACACATACGTTAACCTCTCTTTTGCATTTATAAAAAGGAAATTTTTGTTACACTTACTAAAACAGCCACTCAACCTTTATACTGAAGTGCATCCATATTTCAAAGAACACCAGCCTCAAAAATACTGTTTCTAAAAGGAAAAGTCTCTTGGTGTTTTTCTCTTGTTCTATGTCAAATCAGATCTCATATTTAATTCACTATCTTGGATGAAAAAGACAGACTAAAAGTGCTGATAAGAAAGTGAATTGGGACAGCTGTTTTATTTCATGTGCATTAGTTTCAGAAAGACCTCATAGAAGATTAAGCTGAAAAGGAATTAGAAATAGAGGGCAGTGCCAGGTTTAGCATTGCCAACTACCCATGTGTTATAAAACTACAGCCTCAATTTTGGCTTTGGTGGATTAATCTGAGTATTACTAGAAAGCTTATTGATTTACAATTAGAGCTGTGTGGGTTTCTGATGCAGTTTTTTTGCAAGCCGGAATATAAAACTGCAGCCTTTATGCTCTGACACAACTTCATTGTTTAACCCTTAATCTACTCAGTCACTATGACCATGATCATCTTTGGCAAGTGATGACAGCTGAACAAGGCAACAAATCAGACAAGAAGAGGACTTTTCAAGTGAAGCAGAGTATCTTGCCAGGCTAAGGCATTTTCTTGCAATGCCAATGCCAGCAGAGAAAACAAAAATTAAATGCAGATCCTGAACTAATGCTTTATCACAAGTGTCTCTTTGAATGGAATTAAAAGCATCTGAACTTGAAATTTTGCTTAAATTACTCATGTAAAAATAGAATTTGTATGAGGGAAGTTATTTTTTAAAAGCAAAACTAAACACTCAGACATCACAGCTCTTACTTCTGCCAGACCATAGCCCACTTTCCCCAAAACCTGGACACACAGGGTAACAGCTCTGTCATAGTATCTTGGTTATGCAGAAAGAAATGTTCTGTTTTAATCTGCTGGAAACATGGTTTAGAATAGAGAGCTGTCTATACACACACACACACACACGTGTATTTACATGATTTTCAGGAAAAATCTGTAGATTTGTGGAAAGACTTCTACAATTCAAGTGAGCAACCACACTGCTAGCCAAAATAAATACGAGTGTCAGAGGCTCACCGAGGGTACAGCCAGGGTGCTATGGACCTGCTACCCGTCTGTGGGCTACAGGTGAGATGTCACTTGGTGCAGTAAGACATGAAGATGAAAAATAACAGAATGAAGTCAGAGACTATGGGTTTGCATTTCTGGATTCCTAAAGACTTTTGGTTGGGCAAAATGAAGGGAGATGAGGGATGCATTTGGGATGTGTGTGAAAAATTAATTTTGTAATTTGCATTTTATTCTTACTTGAAATTAAATCTGAAGCAGTCTCAAGAGCATTTACTGCCTTTATTGTACCCCAGAGTATATTTAGGCTTGAACAAAACAAACTGAAGTGCTTAGCACAGAGCTTCAACCAAACCAAGCTGCTCTTATTTCATTTAATTTTGTTTCAGGAATAGTAGTAAAATTCTAATGTCAATGGAGAGAGGAATTAATAAAAAAAGCCTTAATCTCTGAATAAGTCACTTTCTAAGTATTTTGTTACATGGACATCCACATTCAAATCAAAGGGATCTAAGGGTACATACCATATTTATGAGGACTTACGTAATAAAGATTGTGAGCTGCACACACTTTACCCTAGTTTTAAACTTGGTTTTATGAATTATTAATAAAAAACCTTTATAGAATAAATTAAATTCACAATAGCTAAATGTTCCTTAACTTCTTAACTGTCCAAAGCATGCATACTGTAATTAGAGATTCAGAAATTACATTTTAAGAAAGACCAACACATTGATATTTTATTTATTTCAACAGCAGAACTACAGTAAAGTTGTTTTAATCTCTATTTCCTACTATTTATCTTCAGATCATAAAAAGGCACGGTAAATCTGAAGAAAGGTCCTTACCCTCCTCTTAGACAAATTTAATGAATGTAAATGTGTAGCCATGAGCGGAGAGTCCTCAACATAAATGAGTAAAAATATGTGCCATATGGACTGATGCTGGCACTAACAGCCAGATTAGCAGCAGTGTATAGTTTGTTGTTCCTCTGAAACTCAGAATCTTTAAAAAATTTCTACATACTAGGTAAAGCTTATTTAATTCAGCTAATCTTTACTGGTTTTTATAGGTACAAATAAAGAAAATAACTAATTCTGTCCTGCACGTGAACTAGATCCCACTCTAGACAGCAGAGAAGAAATATTTAACAGAAAATTCAAATTCCTCTAGTACAATATGCAGAGGACAGAAATACACTTTGCATATCAAATCCTGTTTACCTCTCTGCTTCTTTGCAAATGTTGGCCTCATCTCTCAGCTCACTAAATGCATTAAATCATCCAGCAAAGACTCCAGCAATATTTTTATATTGCTTTTATCACAAGAGCTTAAAATGAGCAACACATCATAATTTTAAGTCAGAAGTGCTGAGCTCTGTTAATGAAATGACAGAGTTGAAAAGTTCAGACTGAGTTCAGGTGGGGAACAGTAATTTCGGATTTTCCATATAAGCCTCATATATGGAAAATGCAGTGGAATCCAAATGAAAAATAGGTTGGTTTTTTTTTTCGTTTTTTTTTTTTTTTTTTTTTTTTTTGTGTAAAAATGAGCAGTTCCACTCTCCTCCCCAACTTTGTTAGAAAAAAAATTTATAGAACTGTTTACTTCATTATTGCATGTACTTTTTCATTACATTGCATGTACATGTTTTCATTAGACATATTTTTCTCTAACATAGGAAGACATTCCATTTCATTTATGGGCAACACCAACAGCTTGGAGATCTAAATTCTTGCATGTTAACTGGAATTCAGACACAGAGCAGAGGTAATCCCTTTCTGTACAGGCAATGAGAGAGAGTTCAGGGAAGCACAGGAAGTCAGGCCAGCAGAGCAGGACAAAATAGAGAAGACAAAGAATGAAATTGCCACCACTGCTCTGAAAACTCCAAATTGTACCATGACATTAACAGATTTACAGAATGAGGTAGTCTGGACTGTTGCAACATATGGCCACTGGGAAGCATGTCTCACATTCCAATGATATAACTCCAAACCCTTGCCAAGATTCTTGCATTTACAAAAAGAGTTTCCTTTGTCAAGTGGCAAATACTCTGTCTAAATACCAGTGCTTTCACTGCATATTCTGATTAAATACAAATGTCTGAAAGACACTTCATTTAAACAAGCTCACAATTGGATTAAATTAGCTCTGAAGCAAATTCTGGTTGCACATGTTTACAGCCTACTCTTACAAAACAGTGATGCAAAGGGCAGCTAGACTTTCCATTTAAATTCCTTAGGGAAGAGTAATTTCTCAAGCCATTTTGCCAAAAGAATGTTATTGTGTACCAAGCCATTGGTCCATGGCTTTCAAAAAGACAGGCAGAGTAGATACAATTTTTCTGTGCTACTAAATATTGTAGAATATTTTTATTAAAGACTAGCAGTTAGGAAGCTCTAGTCTTCATGGTTGTGTAAATACCCTTACATACACACTACCTCCAGTGTCAGCTCTGTGTGTGTGTATGGACAGAAAGCTTCACTTCTCCTCCCCTCACAATTAATTGTAAAGCTCCTGGCTTGTGGTTCCTCCACTCAGTTTTCACTGCTACAGAAACCTCTGTGGATATCACTGAAGTGGATAAGAATCATACGCATCTTCCAACCTGATAAAGTTTTAGAAACACACACTGGAGACATTCTCTGAGAAATCTGAACTCTGAAAGGGAAGGCAGGAGAGGTGACATAATGAGCATCTGTTCAGCTTCTGAAGGGGTGAGGGTGCTGGAAACAAAAAGAAAAGGACTTTCCTTCCTTCCAGAATCCAAGAAGAATTTATGAAGTTCACATGTATGAGACATGCCCTAACTACTGACCAAAACTCTGTCATCCTTTAAGCAGTAGCAGGAAAATCAACCACTAGGTAGACTCAACTTCTCACTTGGGGGATAACCCAGCAGGTATACAGCTTGTCCTTTGTTTTCTGCCCTAATCTTCCACCTATAGGTCCTGGTAAATGCTTTCATTGCCTGGGCAACCTAGATGGGTGGGTCAGGTTGTGCAAACCAATGAATACAGATTACACAAGGACAGGACACAGAATAAACCAGAAGAAATCAGGACCAAATATGCAGCAGCAACTAGGAAAGGAATAAAAAAGATGTTGAAATAGAGACATAAAAAATACTGAAAACACAAAAAAGATTGACTGCTGTCTTTTACAGGAAAGCAAGAAAGAAATGAAGCAAAACCATTTGAAAGGGAAAAGTTGTAACGAAATCAGGCAAGATTTAAAAAATTATAGAAAAACTAGAAATTATAAAGAAAACTATCAGTATTTAGATGACACACAATAAAACACGTATATGGAGCTATTTTAGTCCATTAATCTTAAGAAGCCATTTTTCCCTTTCTCTGTGAAGCTTTGCTTCTCCAGTTAGTAGAAATGAGACTTCTTGTCAAATTCTGTATTAATTTATTCCATATTAGAAACCAGAGCTGTGTATCAATGTTGTTTACTATTGAAAGCACCATATGTTACTGCTGCAGTAGCAAGCATATTCAAATATCTAGAATTTCAAATGGGCCACTTTTTCAGAGGTGGATCCACTAAGCCATTTTACCCTACAATGCTAGTGAATGAATGCTCTGGAGCTTGTGTTTGCTGTCTCTGTAATCTCTCCATCACATATGAAGTCAGCTTACTAAGAGGGTGGTGATAAGGGTGCAGGATGCTCTCTCTGCATCATGTAAAAATGTCAGTAATGCAGGAGACTAAATGCTGGCACAAGTCAACATTAGTGTATAACCTCATTCTTCTAGGATGTTTTCATAAAAACAACTTACTGAAAATAAGTAACAGGTATGCTGACAGTGTACAGTACAGGATTGATTGTGTCTGTTCTTCAAACTGCATGAAGTCAGAGTAAGAAGCCACTGTATGTATGATTCAATGACTAAATTAATGAAACTACAGAATTTTGAAAACATGGAATAAATTGTTTCTTTTGAATTAAATATCATTAGATGACCACTTAAGAAGTTTATCTTGTAAAAAATACTTAGGTCCCAGAGATTGTACACAGTGGGAAGGTCATATTTTCTATTGACACATGGTGTGCAAACATAAGGTTCGAACTTTAAAGGAATGGGTTCAGCATCTTACTGGCACTTTATTTTGTGGAAATAAGGGGAAAACTTCTGATTGTATCATACAATACTATAAATAGCAAGTGTACTGTAGACAATCCATATGACTAATATATTCCCTTGTAAACGGAAAAAAAGAATTATTCCTGAAGAGAATAAACATAAATACCAACATGCCAATACTTACATCGATTAAATCCGAAAGGTCGTGAATATAATACTTGAAAACAGAAGCATTCGTTGCTTCCAGGGTGAGCAGGTATTCATTACGGGCCTTAATAGATTTCAGCTTGTTTTCAGAATATTTTGCTTGACGCTAGGAAAGACATTTCATATTAATGTATTTTAATTACTTCATTTTTGGTACGCAGCAGAAACGGTAACAATTCAAGCAGGCATTCCTAGTAACAAGAAAGAATCTTAATTTCCAGCCTGTTATACATACAACAGATAGAATACGAAGTGAAAACTTAATATTTTGTTCCAAATGTGACAAACTTTACAGTAAGAATTATATTGGGAATGAAGGATCCCCCTCTCTGAACTGAAATGATGTCAAGTTATCTATAACCCACTGCTAGTTTATTATGTGTACCTGGCTTAATTTCATTTCCCAGCTGGATTTCCCTGTCTAATATCAGGCCAAAGTATGTCAGAAATGCACTGAATTTATTTCAAATGAAAGTAAATAAAAGGACTATTTACTTTTTCCTTCATTTTTTCAATCTTCTTCACAGAGCTCCGTCTCTGGTGCCTTTCTTCTAGTCGAATATGAAAAACAGGGTCTCCTGACCTCCCAATCTGTTTTTCTTCTTGCTTCTCTGCCTCCTTCAGTTTGCTTTCTGCACTGATGCTCTCTGCATGATACATGTGGTATGTTTTCATGACCTGAAAAAGGCAAGAGTCAAAGGCCAATGGAAGAAAATGAAAATATAAAGGTATTTACAGAAAAATCACAGTGTCTTTGAGCAAAATGTTGACTTATAAACATGGATCTTGTGAAAGTTTCTTTGCCAGTGGAGACTGAGGACTTCTGGTTGCATTTTTCTTTTCTGATTTATTTAACAGTATTCCAAATAGGGATTTTTTCTTTAATTACTCTGATAGGAAAGAGCAAAAGCCATTCTTAATAAATTTCAGTATTCTTATCTTCAAGTGAAAATCTAAAATAATGAACAACAAAACTAAATCTGTGTCAGTACCAAATCTATCTGATATATAACTATCTTCTGGGCTAAGTAACAGCTTGGCTGTGGACACTGAATGTTTGAAAGTAGGAGGATCCCTTCAACACTGAGGAAAGGGGAAGGAAGAAGAGGGAATGGGAAGCTTTGGTCTGGAAGCAAATCCCCAGATAGCTGGATGGCTGTCCGTGGCCTGGAAAGAAGTGTCTGCCCACTGTACAGCCCGCAGATTTGGCCTGATGTAAAACCAGATGAGAAATGAAGAAGGAGCTGCCTGATACGTAAGTTGTGAAAACAAGAGGCATCTTTCCTCTACACACCTGCTGGGTCTGCAGATGAGAGAGCTTGGGTTGCCAGTATGCAAATACAGGCTTGCACAGGCCACAAAGAGGAAAAGGGTTACTCCCTTTCTTCTTCAAGCAAGAAAAACCTCAGCCTGAGGTTTTTCTGACTGAGTCCTGCATTGTGGACAGCAGCCAGTCACAAACCCCACCTCTGCTGGGTAGAGCTGACTCTGCCCGCTTCCACCAAAGGAAGCGTCTTTCTGCCTTCCCCAGTCTTTTGTTGCTGTTGTTTGCTTTTGTTGTTTTACGTTTAGAGCACTGAAGGCATCCTCAGGCAGCCAGAGGCCTCCTCTCTTATTCTAACAGGTGCCAGAGCTCTCACCAGCAGATATTATCTTCGGGTGGAGGCCATGCAGACCATTCACATATCGAAGGACACACAGGCAGGGAGGAATCAAACCAGCTGCTTGTGTGACCCATGCAGGAGACAGTTTTGGGAAGCTGCCTTGAAATATTCTCTTGGGAGAGTGTACTTTTTATAACTGAGTATTTAGGTCAGCCTAAGGAGTATCCACAGAGTGGCAAAACAGGGAACACTACAGCTAGATATTGCAATTCACCACAGAACACCTTAGCACAGACTGACACAAACCAACTGCACGCCGTGCCAGTGGGTGGCTGAACTGATGCTTATTTCAAGTCCTGTGCAACAGAATGACACACACTTCCAGAGAAATGCATTTTTGCATAACAATGTATGTTACACACCATAACTGTGTATGCCACTACTTAAGACTGATGCCACTGATAATAAAAACGAAACAGACAACTCTTCACTAGCTTCCTGTAGTAAGGTAAAACAGTTGGTGACAAGCACTAAAAGTGGCCCTGTTTTTATTTTAAGAAGCATATGCTTACAGCTCTGTGGTTAAAAAAACCAAACTGCCTGGAGCAGGACTCCGTGCTATTGCTGCTGCTCCTCTACAGCACACTGTGCTCCAAGGCCCGAGCAGAGCGCAGAGCTCCCTGCCCAAACACTGCCTATAGCCGCAGGGAACAGCTGCTGTTCCCAGCAACTGTTCACATCTGCACAGATGAGGCAGAAAAAACTCCCAGAGATGGACAAAGCTGGGTTAGGAAGAGAAGGCAAGCCCACAGGGATGAGGACTGCAAGGTTCCCAGTTTAACCAAAAAGCATGTTCAGTGTCCTGTATTGTGCACTGCTCCAAAGGCACTCTTACAGGTGTTGATGATCAGTACCCAGGGAGCTTAACTCATACAGCCACACGGAAACAAATGAATTACTGCAAAGAGAAGAAAAGGACTTTTTAAAGAAATGGCTTATATAACAAAACAGAGAAGCACAGAAAGTGATATGGCTCTTATTAAAAATGATGGGGAAAGGAAATTAAAAGCAAGGTTGTGCCCTTTTCTTTTGGCCTTTCTATTCAAATCTTTTAAGTGTTTCTTTGCGTAAGGCTAGAGGTGTTTGCTTTTATTTTTTATCTTTTGTTCTGTGTCATCTCTAGAGATTTTTTAGTTGGTGGGACAAAACTAACTCATGTGTCTTACCACCTAGAAAAGTTATTTTCTTTTGTACTCTGCCTGCGGAGAGAACTATGGGTCCTGATGGAATTAACCCAAGAATTCTTCAAGAGCTGGCTGATGTCACCACAAAACCTCTCTCTCAGTTTTTGAGCAGTCTTGGGAATCGGCAAAGTCCAGGCTGACTGGAAGCTGGCAAGTGTTGCCCCAGTTTTCAAGAAGGGCAACAAGGGTCCTCCCTGGAAACTGCAGGTCTGTCAATCCCACTTCAGTGCCTGGCAAAGCTATGAAGGAGATTATTCCAGGATGTATTGAAAAACACCTGAAAGACAATGCAGTCACTAGTCACAACCAGCACAGATTCAGGAGAGGGAAGTCCTGTTCATCAAACTTGATTTCCTTTTATAGCAAGGTAACCCATGTAGTTCCCACCAAGGGAAGCCAGTTGATGTAATCTTGGATTTCAGGAGATCTTTCAATACTGTCTCTCAGAGTATCCTTCTGGATAAAATGTCCAGCACACAGCTGGATAAACACCTCATGTGATAGGTGAGCAACTGGCCCATTGGTTGGGCAGAGTTATAGTGAATGGGGTGACATCAGACTGGTGACCTGTCACTAGTGGGGTTCTGCAGGGCTGTCTTAGGTCCTGTGCTCTTCAACATCTTCATTAATGACTTGGATGCATGACTAGAAGGGATACTAAACATATTCACAGCTGATACAAAACTGGGAGAAGCTGCTGAATCTCACCAAAGCAGGGAGGCCCTGCAGAGAGACCTTGACAAATTAAGAGAACTGGCCAATCACCAACATCATGAAGTCCATCAAAGGAAAGGCAGACACCGATTTCTTCTCTGTGGTGACCAGTGACAGGTCCCAAGGGAATGGCCTGAAATTGTCATGGGAAGTTTAATTTGAATATTAGAAAAAAGTTCTTCACCCTGAGGGTGGCTGGGCACTGGAATAGACTCCCTAGGGAAGTGGTCCAGCACCAAGCTATACCTGAGGTCAGGAAGTGTCTGGATAACACTCTTGGGCACGTGACGTCACTCTTGGGGATGGTGTTATGCAGAGCAAGGATCTGGATTCTATGATCCTTGAGGGTCCATTCCAACTCAGAACATTCTGTGATTCTGTATCAAATATATCTCAAAGTTTTCTAACTGTATCTCAAAGCACCTAAGTGGATTTGTTCTGCTTGCCAAAAGCAGCAAGCATTGGAGTTCTTAAACTAGCAGATTAGGCATAAATGTCCTTCTGCAGTGGCTGACTCTTCAGCTTGCCTCCTTGTTGAAAGAAGAACTCCTTGAAGGAGTACAAGTGTATCTCTGTTCTCACCAATATCTCCACACTGACTCCACTAGCTTCACATCACCAAGGAGTATTTCTTCCTCTCACTGCTTGCCTACAGCACATGCTACCAAATCCAGAGTGTTTCATTCCACACAGACTGATAGGCAACATTTGTGGGACAACTACATGGAACTCATAGCTTTCATGGGGAACCAAGACGTCTACTTGAAATCCATGTTCTCACAACAAACTCTGCACAAGTTCTTGGTACAAATGGTTGGCTAAATAACTAAAATACAAAAAGAAGTCCTCTCTCTGGATTCACGGGGCTGGACATCAGTCAGCGTCAGTCCTACCCAAGCCTCACTGGCTTAGGAATCAATACAGACTCTGTAAAGAGCAGTGATCAGCCTAGGCACGTGACTCCTCCACGTCCAGTTTGTTATATTGATAGCATGCTTATCTCATGCACTAGTGACATCATTATTTTGCAAGCCTTTGGGGAAAATGTCTTAATGATTTCTCAGCCTTTTTCATGATGTGTCAATGTTTTTTAAAGAGCTGATATTGCAGCAGCTGAACTTAATTTGAGAAAGCATTAGAGAGACACGTACAGAAAAACAAATGGGAACAAGCTAGGGAGTTGGCTTCCAAACATTTCAGTGCATACTTCCTCAACAAATTGGCTTAGAATTTGCTGGTTAAGTTGCATATATGATTCTTTCCCTCAACATTATGTCATCTTTTTGTCTTGGAGTTTTTAAGACTGTTAGATGTTGTTAAACACAGTAACCGGCTTTCCTAAATACTAGTTTGTACAATAATTGTCATTATTGTATGAAAATTTCTGAGATTTGTAGGCCTCTGATCTGTGAACATGCAACAGATTCACAGATCTGTTATTCAAACTATGAAACAAGTAACAATGCTTTTCAAATGTCCACCAAACTGTGGTTTCAACAGACCATCCTGAGAGAATATCCATCACTGAACTGACTTTACCTAGTCTCCAGAATGCTTACTATTGAGCCATCAAGTATGCACTAAATAAAGAGAGCAAGGTTGTAATTTTGCAGATGCTGAACTGTCATCATGATATTTGCTGTATTTCTCCACTGAAGTGAACCAGCATTGTTAAATGCATACTAGTACCTTCCTAAAATTAAATACTAAGTTTATCTCCTATTAATTTAGCAGGTTTATTCTGCTGATCCAGTGATGTAAAATATATATGTCAGACAACTGTGTCAGACTACAAGCAGATGAAAAAGATTATCCTACCCTAACTATGTACTCTCACATTTGTAGGTGACAGACTGTTCACTTGGTAGCATAAACATCTCAATTTGTCTGCCAAAGTTTCAGCATCATTTGTAAGAGCTCAGCAAATAGGCTTAAGGCAGAAGATAGAATTTATCACAAGGAAGGGCACACTAGAGTACATCCTTAGATAATTATTTTAACCCCACAGTTGTTATCCAGGCAAATCCATCAACAAGACAGTAATTAGTGCTATACTTCTATGGGCCATAAGTGAAGAATGTTCCCATCGTAGGGGACTAGCTTTCCTTCTCTACACACATCCTTCTTTTCTAGAAAACTCAAACGAAAGCAAGACTGAAAGCTAATGAGTTAAAATAGATGGAAATAACTGTGTTAACATGTACTTTATTTTTATAATAAAATTGCACAATTAAGAGCCTTTTCACAATGTTTCTCAGGAAATAGTAACTTCCTAGCTCATCCCTGGTGTATTTATCATGTTTGAATTGTTTTAGAATTGTCTCTGCTAAGCTGTGAGTTCTTCTCAGAAGGTGGAGCCACAAGGGTTTCATTGAATTGGGTTACTTAGTGCTCTGCACAAGAAATAAGAAAAATCTTATGCCAATTTTATCATACCAGTGGCCTCTAGCAGTTAAGCAGGCTCAGTATGAGCTGCTGTCAGCATCCTGTTCACTCATTCCAAGTTGGACTCTGCTGTGGTTTTAGGAACTGTCACATATACTTACTATCAATACAGGATTACTGATTTCACCTTCTCAGATCTCTGATGTGCCACAGTAAATTGAACTTAACTTTATAAAGAGGAATCAGATTCTGTGTTACTTCAGTGACAGAAAAAATCTGGCAGCAACTACCTTCAAAAATTAAACAGCCAAAATTTTTCAAGAGTAAGATAAATCAATGGAAAATGCAAGTGGCACAGCAGCCCTGTCTTTTTTAACATCCAAGTTGCTTTGGACTGTCCTCACTTTTTCCTTTTTCTGAGCCCTATACATTTGCATTGCTTGTGAAATGTGTGATGTCAGTAGGATAAATTTGGAAGGCCAAGTGGGAGACATGAAGATACACTTTTATGATGTGCATCACTTTTCTCCACCATTTGCCCTCAGCCTTATTACCGGAACAGCTCTGTATTTTTAGCAAACCTGTGACCTTCCTGACATATGAATATGTCTCGACCCCTAAGTAAGTCCAGTGAAGACCTCTCTCCAACATAAGGAAAGTGTCTAGCTACCTTCTGTTTCCTGTCATTCCCCATCATTCAGATACTATTGCTATATACCAGCACTTGATCTGACAAGGCAAGGTATTTTAGCTTCCCAGAGAAATAGAAGAGTTTGACTGGGGACTTTTCTATTTTGCAAAGATGATTTATTGCAAAGTCAATAATCTTGCCTCTTTAAGTCAATGTGTAAGAAGATTTCTAAATCAATCAGTTTACAAAAGAATAAACCAAACATCTTCCAGCTTTCAGTTTGACCAACTTTTCTTCCTGTAAATGCCAGGAAAAACTCCTCTCTGTGACCCCACACAACTAACTGAGCTCCACTTTTCCCATCTCCCCTCATAGTTTCTATAGCTTATATTCTTATCTGAAACACGGGACTGATTCCTGGCCTGTACTGACTGAAAGTGTGGTAAGGAGAGGAGTAACAGAGGAGTGCACAGCTGCTGGGATGCTGCAGACCTGAAAATACTGTCTGGCACAGCCACAGAGAAACCAGGCACAGTTTTAAGTACTTGCCAGTCATAATTTACTGAACTCGCAAAGATACAAATGAAGCTTAGCTAATTAATTTGTTTTAGAATGATGTTTTCAGTCATGATTTTAAAATGTATGCATAAAATACTGAAAACTGAAAATACAGTTTTAAAATGCATTTTCATTAGGTGAAAAACATGTTGAAAACCTATATAATGTAACATTAAAAAAAACCTTTACATAGAAGAGATGGAAAATTAGAAACCAAGGTTTCCCTTACAAAATTCTGTTTATTCCAGCAAAATAAGCCTGCTTTATTCTGAGAACATCTGAAGTTGTGGTTCACCTGCTTCTGTCCTTATTTTTTCAACAATCCTGTACATGATGTGCAGTTTTAATGATGACAGCACAAGCTAAAGGCCTTAATTTACAGACCTTTGCTGTAAGATAAGGCATGATGATAAGAAATAACTAGATTATTAAACCTTCTTTATACATACTAAAAGCTCTGATACTTGCCCCTTACTCAAAAGCTTTAGAGGTATTTAAATTCCAACATGACATCACATTCTAAGTTCTACTTCAGGAAGGCACCTTTCCTTTCAAACAAACAGAACTAAGTAGTACGGAGAGACTTCAGTATTAGTACATTACTCACAGATTTTGCATCAATTTGCTTTTCTTTGGACACAATGATTTATCTCACAATAGAAAGACTGGTTTTTTTAAACTTTTCCCCCCTCTATAAATCATGGGGCAAACAAGTAGATGACATCTCCTTTTTGTGACTGATAAATGTCACTGCTGGAGATTAAAACTGTCGATACTTGTTCCAATAAGGCCACTATGATCTTATTCTGTACATAGTAAATGTCATAAAGAATTAAAAACCTGTGCATGAGGTCCCCATCTGTCTAGATACTGTTCTATCTTTATGTACATGAGCAGATATAATACACAGATATGATGATGACCATTCTAAACATTCAAGCAGTGAAACAGATGCTACTCTGCACCATATTGTCACTTTATTATGTGTGGGCTTTATTTAGCTAAATGTGGACATGTAGAGCTGACCAAGCCCTTTGCAATCAATGAAAAGCTGGACAATGAAGTTAACAGTACAGATCACTTAATCTGAAGCAGATTCTTGCACCTGATTAAAGGGATCTCATCTGCCCATATTATATTTCCAGGGCCTCTAGCTGGAACACAGATAGCATGCTAAGATATTTGTATTTACACTGCAGATATCTGAAAATCAGGTAAAGTAAATTCCATTCCAAGAAACCATTTGCAGCAGTAGCTTGACTCAAATTGTGGACAAATTCAGAATTTTTATAACATAAAAAATATTCCCATTTAAAAAATAAATCTTGAATTGTGAGAAAGGAATTAGCATGCACTGGAAGCCATAATATGGAAGTTAATACCTGATTAAATCTGATAGTTATCTGTGTGCATATATAGCACTAGGGTGAAGAAAGAGAATGAAAATACCGAAGTCCAGTCCTGCAGATTTTCAGTGGTACTTCAGAAAAGTATTTCAGCACATGCTTCACTGTCTCCCTACCACGGAGCACAGGCACTAATCCCAAGCCTTGCCAGACACTGGAGTTATGCAACTGTTTAATTGAAACAAGGCTGTATCTTCAGGGCTTATCCAGCACTGAAGTCCCACTTGTGCCACAGTTCCTGCAGCAGCTGATCCCCTGCAGCTGTGTGAACTGGCTGTGGCTACCACTACTTTGCAGAAGCTGATCCCAGAACACTGACTACAGGCCTCAGCCAAGAAGGCTTTGCAGTATAGCACCCTACAAAATCCTCGCGGTTTCAGACAAAATAACCCCAAAGAAAATCCCGAACAAAAAAAAAGTGGTGGTTTAGGAAGGCTTTGGGAATCTGTGTTCGTAACAATTAAAAAGAACTCAGGGCAGAAAGACAAGACTAATTTTCTTTGGATCTCCTTTTTGCCACCTAAGTTGTTCTTGAGTTGAAATGTTCTTCAGCCCATCCACAGATAGCTGCAGAGTTTTCCCTAGGTCAAAAGAAAAATCATCAAGATGCACAAAACTAATGTTTGGGCTCTGCCTGTGGAGAAGTGATCATTGATAGCTTCCTAAACTTCACAAATGTTTCTTGATATCACTACTGTAAGGTTTTTTTATGGTCTTCCAAATCTTGAGGATGGGGAACAGAGGTGCCTAGAGATTGTTATGTAGGGTACTGGAGCATATATGTTTCAGTTCTTCCAGACAAAAAAGAAGAGAATTTATGTACAACTTCCTGAATGAGCAGAAATCAACAGGCTTTTATAAGAGATGCAATCTTAATTCTACAGCTGTGTTTCAAAAAAAGGGTAATTATTGCTTCTTTTCTTTTTCACAACACACACCCTCAGAAAATAGCTGGGGAAATAGTTATCAGGTAGACGAGACATTGCTTTGTAGTACCAAGTTGCATAACTGGGTTTCAAACAAGAAAATAGAAAATCAGACCTAAGTTCTCTCAGATTTTCCTATGGATTAGCAGGAGCCTGCCAGAATGTTCACAGTGGTTTTTTTCCCTGATCTCTCTAAATGGTATGGGAAGTCTACAAAACCCTCTGTTTTCCTTTTCATTATTTACTTATCCCAGTCAGGGATGGGGAAGGGCACGTAAGTAACATTTAGACAGTACAGCACTGGATCTGCAAACACCGATGATTTTTATGGAGCGTCAAAGTCAAACTAAGCAGACGGCAGCATGGACAAAAACAAAGTAGAAAAGAAAGAAGTTTGCTCTGGTAAGCTCTGAGTAGAAATGTCTCATTAATAAACAAGACGACTTCTAATAAACTGGCTTACCAGAGTCTGGGGAACAAAAGGGTTGAAAGTAAAGAGTAATCTTGAAAGCATTAGCATATGTATTTTAAACAAGTGAGTAGTCTTTTCAAAAATATAGTTTAGGCTTCTGTAAAACATAAAAATAAGTAACTCCATTGGGGGTAACTTAGTTAATGAAAGTCCACATAAAGCTTACAGAAGTAGTCTGATATGGAATTTGTATAAGATAAGCTAAGTAAGTAACTGTACTTACTGTGTAAAGCTCGTTAAGTACTTTCATTAAGTCTTCATGAAGCTGAAATGAAATCTCTTTACTCTGTAATTAAAAAGAATCATTAGAAAAGGGCATGTAAAAACTGCATCATACATTTGTTTCTTGATATTTATACTCATTGCTCATCCTAGACAGTGAATGCAATGTTGCTCCCAAAAACCATTCTGAATTACAGTGCATTAAAAAGAGTGATTCAGGGATGCAGAGGCAGACAGGTAACATCTGGACAGAAGACTCCTAAAAAGAAGCCCAGAAGTAATTTTAAGGTATTTTTCCCATAAAGCATCAGGAAATTAGGTGCCAACAGAAAGGGGAAAGTTCAAGATTAATGTTTTCAATAGAACAAACTGTGTACTGTTTTATAATTGCTAAGATATATACAAAAACTAAACCACGCAGAATGTGATACTCTAGAGGGACATCCTGCCCAATTTTGCATCTAGTCTTTGTTTCTCAGCACATACAACTATCTAAATATTTATGCAAGAAATAATTGTGGCTCCTCTTTGAAACAGATACCCAACTGCCTAATATTCCACAGAGTGGGCTGCTGAACCAGCTTTGTTTAGCTTTTCTGGACTATGACTTTACTTTCATTCTGACCCAGAAAAAAAAAAGAAATGCTTAGCAGCAGTTATTATCAAAGCAAATATGTCAAAACAAGAGTATTTAATTGGAGTCTCATTGAAATATATTCCTTTGTTAGTTTTCCACAGCAGCTCAATCTGATGAAAATGGTGGCAACTGTGCAAGAGTTGAAGGCATTTGTATCACAGCCTTTGAAAACAGCTACAGAATACAGCTATGGGACTTGGCAAACAGCCTGGCTACACTTCTGCTGTGATGCTCAGCATTCTAACATCCATGCTGGAAGCATGAGATTTTTTTTTTTTTTCTGTGAATAAATTGATAATTAGTCTGGCTTCTAAAAACTTCAACAGCATGATAGATAATGGCCTTAGCTACGAGAAGTACTTTGTATTTGTATGGAAGCCAAAGGAAAATCCTCAGAGACAGTTCATCTCCAAAGCTGCTAGCGCATACTTGGCCATCACTAAAACACCTGAAGGAATAATGGGTTTCTGAATGACAATTTGCAGCACAATGTTCACATATGAGGGGAAACCACATCACACATCCCACCCACTGTGTCTTCCAGGAGGATGAATCAGATACATACAGTAGCTCAAACAGAAAATGTCGGGTGTTTTTTTATCCTGCTCCTACTATCCTACTTTAACTCTGGGCAGTCTTTTAAAGCACCCATCGTATCATTTATCAGTATTCACTCCAATCATTATGTGCAAGATGGTTTTACACTGACAAGAAGATAGGAATATAATTTACAAAAACCACTTCAGTGAAATTCTTGTATTCCCAAGGGCATTAGCTGTAGTAGCTAAGGCACAGTAAGACAGCTGCTCTGAAGCTGAGGTACACAGAATTACTATGAAACTTTCCTTATTGCTTATACTTTTCAAAGACATATTTTCCTGAGGTATGCATTAGTTACAAAGTATCTAGAACACAAGACTTACTACGTCCATTTCTTTGCAAATATCAGATTATTTTCATCTAATAATAAGGACAAAATTTCATATATATAACAGTATAGTGTTTATGAAGAATTGAAAAGGACTGCAGATTTGCAAGCTGCTGTAGGGAAATGCCATAAAATCTTTATCAAAAATTCTGAGTTGATTTTCATTGCTTCACATTGGCACCCTGCCTTTAAAAGTCAGCAGTACAGCTCTAACACAGCTTACACATCTCCTCAAGGCTCCAAGCAGAGGCCACCTGCTTATTCTTGGATAGCTGCTTCTATAGTGCTGAATGTGTGTGTTTTTTTAAATTACTTTAGCAGGAAGAAGGGCAAAACATACAAATAAGATGTTTGACATTAAGATGAGAGCATACCCATGTGGGAGGAAACTCTAGATGAATTCCAGCTTTAAGCAATTTATCCCTTTCAACTGTTGCTCACAGCCATCTTGAGGCTGATGAGAAGTCAAGCCCTAAATACAGCAACAGCAATTCTAAGGCAGGATGCCTCAACCCGGTAGTGCAGAAGTTTGTTTGAGAAGGTGAGACAGAAAACCCCAAATCAATTTTCTCTTTACCCCTTGAGATTTCACTGTAAGCAAAGCACACAGAGTTTATTGAAGGATGGACCCTTCTTTTCTCCTCTTAATGCAGCCCCACCTTGATGCAAGCAGACACCAGATAAGCTGAGGATTTGGTGAATGATCACTATTTATTAGGACATTTTTTCCCTTTGCTCCTTTCAAGCTCTGTCCAGAACTGAAATACAAGCAGTCCAGCCCTCAGGATTTACTGGCTATCTTGCATACGTGATCTTTTCCAGGGCAACACAGTGATCAGTGGCAAATTTGGAAGTGAATGGAAGGGATTACAATAGATAAAGATGCTTTTATAGAAGGAAAATATGCTTTAAAATTGAAAGCAAAAAGAGGAGGGAGGTGATCAGCAAAAAGTGTGAAAATTGGGAAGTGACAACCAAGCAATGCCACACAATCACAGAGGAGTCATCCCTCCACCACTTGATCTGTGGACTCCAACTAGCAGAAGATGCCTGCAGTGATGGATAACATTTCAAATTATTTCAATTCTGATGAAAGATATTCTAGGAATTGTCAAAAAAAAATCAAGGTTAAACTTAGCAGTATAAAAGGGATTTATTTTTCAAGAACTGACACATTTTTCTTTACCATTTAGGATTAAGAAACACTGACTTGAGTGACAAGCAATATGGCTTTTATTGTGTAATATATGGCATGTTAGAGCACCAGTTAAGAAGTGAATTTATTTTCAGTGGTTAATTGCTATCCTATAATTTGTTGTTTATGCTACCTATTCCCTGCAGTAGGGTTCAGTGTGTGTGAACGGTGTGCTCCTCTAGGAGCCTGTCCACAGGGTACCCAAACAACAGAAAGCAAGATGCAGCACACATTTTCCCAGAGCTGAGTTGATAGCTCTAATCAGGCTATTAAAACCTGACAAACAATCACTGAAGGTGCTTATTTATTCACTGTGCCCCTGTGAAACGCACTAGGACCTATTAACCAAAGGAACGAAGAATGTAATAAAAATGTTAGATCACATGCAAATTGCTGCTAAGAATATTATATATCTTACTAGTCTGGTTCAAGACATTAAGAGACAGTAGTGTATTTTTTTTCACCTGCTAGCAGCATAGATCCTACATATGCAACAGACAAGCAAATGTACCTAAACCCTCCTTTCAGTATGTGCTCAACTTTCAACATATCAGTGCTCCTACTGATATGTCAAGATTTGTATTTCTGGATAAAAGTCTGAGAAACTTAAAATTTTATTCCACATTAATATCTTTTTAATGAAGTATGTTAAAATTTTTTCCATACATTTCAGTTAAAGCATAATTTGGCACTCCAGCTTTACTCTTGTTTATTGTAACTGAAATTTAAGGGTCAGTCCAGTTCTTCCTTGAACTCTTTAGTGTCTGTATTTAGCATACACAACACGACTCAGTTAACATCATTTAAGGAAAATATTCTGTGCCTATTGCTTTTAAATAAGTCTGCTGCTGGTCCCTATGGGAAGTGAAGTGCAAACCCTTCTTTTATGGAGGTTTCATGAGCTGCATGACACTAACATAGCCAACTCAGTAAAATACTGTCCCAGACTTGCCAGTCTATACAAAACAAACAGCTTTGGCTTTGCTATCCTTTTAAACATTTAAATGCTTAAGAAAATGATGCAAAAAATTTATATGCCACAATCTGTATAATACCAAACAGATTCGGTAGGTAGTCATATTTCTTGTTAATAGCCAGATTAAGGAACTAAAATATTTATTGTGCTTGGTATCTCCAGCATCTTTTACTGTAAACATTGGAAGATATGTTCATCTTGGCTTATGTAGATTTCTGTCCAAGGAAAATACATGTTTATAAATTATAAATATACAAATCTGCTTAAGGATTTAGTATGTGTTTATACAGTTGATTATTACTGCTGGGGTAACCAGAATCACTGCATGAAATATTCTGCATAATACTTTTCCCTTCTGCTTGACATTTCTCCTTATTACTTTATTCTTTAATTGTCCCCATGAGGCCAGCTACCCCATCTGCCTGAAGAAACATGCAAGCATGCAAGGTTTGAACTCCACTACTTTATTTTTGTAATTTTATGTGCAGCATGAAGTGCAGGCATCAACAGCAATCTTACTGCTTTTATATGCCAGCCACTAAAAAGAAGAGATTAGGTGCCTATCTGAAAGTATGAGGCCTGACATAATGTCTTCCAACAAAAGCTACAAAATCTCTTTACTAGATCCTATCTTTGTCTTGCATTTAGAGCATTTAAACAGATGCCAGTTTCTGACCCCTGGAAAAAAAGAATGACAAATAGCTCCTGGGAGAACAAAATTAATTAATATCAACACGTTAAGGAGGCCAGGTTAGACAGCAAAGCCATATACAATCAGGTACTTGAATACAGCACATCCAGTCCCATCAGACCATGTAAGGTAGAGCCAATAGGCATAATTTCCCCAAAACAATCCAAATATCCAGACAGATGCACACAAAAGGAAAAGCAGAATGATGAAGAACAGAGACTGAGCCTTCGGACAAGGAACAAAGCCTAAGGAATGAGGACATCCTCATCACTACATTTTACCAGATCATCATTGGCTTTTGCACACACCTTTTACAGAACAAGTAGAGAAAGGGGCTGCTACAAACTTATGGCTTGTGTGATGTTGCACATAGGAGGGGTAACAAAGTATGGCTGAGAAAAGAGGAAATTACTGGATCTTTACTACAATTCAAGCTGGAGTCAATCTTAAGATACAAATTCAAGTCACACTCCTCTAGAAAATGTTGGACTCACTTCATGGAAAAGTTTCACCTGAGAACCAACATACCTACCAGCAAGATGGAAAAAGTCAGTAATGTCTAGCGTTGAGAAGCAGAATGGGAAGTCCCATCCTCTTGGAAGGAGAAAGGGGGAGAAAAAAAGAGGGAGTAGAAAGAGTCAAGATGTTCAGAGTGATCACGACTTTGCTGTTGTTTCTCCTTATCTTGCTTGTGGGCAATGGGGCAATCCACCCTGAGACACTTTTCCTTTCTGCAGCAGGAAGACTGAGGTTTCAGAGCAGCACAGTGAAGATCTGCTCTGATCATGGGCTTGGTGTATGCACTTACTCTCCACACTTGGAAAAGGAGTAAAGCACCTTGCGACTACAAGACTGATGGAGAACTAAAACGAAGTAAAAGTAGTGATGTGTAACACGTTAGATTAATAAGCTGTAAGATCTATAACTGAAAAATCTAACAATTGAATACAGAGAAGCTTGACTAACTGGTATTTGTAAATTCTAGAATCACAGAACTGTAGACATTACATGCTCTTGTGAGCAATACTGTGAGAGCCAACAGAGTACAAATATTTCCTGCCCTTGACCGTGGACTACAGTAAGCCACTAAGCATGCACTTGTTAGTCTATTTTTAAAATCTTCATATTACTGCTTGTTATTTACATTTATTACTTAGAGAGACACTACATTTTTCACAGAACAGTATGATCAGATTCCAGAGTAGAAGTATCTGAAGGACATGGTTTGTCTCTACTTTAATCCAAAATCTGTGAATGGTGCACAAATTCCATATGCTTTCACAGGGATATGACACCTATTGAGACTGATTATACTTTTCTCTGACACTATTTTATTCTAAATACTTTTTTTTTCCCCAAAAGTAATCAGCAGAATCACAGAAATTGACAGAAATTGCTTAAATATGCTATTTGATGTTAAAAAATCTCCAACCAAAGCAATGCCATTTTCTTCAGGGAGAATACAATTTTGATGGAGGACACTGTTGGCTGTCACCTTTCTCACTCTTAAGTGCACCTTCTCTTTGCCCCTGTGACCTCTTTCCTGCAAAGAGAACTGTAGCAGACTACATGTGTTTTGCATCTGATCTTTTTGTTGCCCAGTAAACATCCATTATGCAGTTCTGCGAGCACCTTAAGTTAGACTGCTCATTCACATCTCACACAAATTATCACAGGATCATGGAAGGGTTTGGGCTGAAAGAGCTTCATCATCAGTTCTGCACCTGGGAACTAACAGCAAATAAATCACCAGCACTCTGCAGCAAGCACCACAGCAAGAACTGTGCACACTGGGGCTCAGTGGAAATATCAAACCTTCTGCAACAAGTACTGAGCCTGACCGAATGTCTTAAAAATGGGTGCTCTGAATTGATACTGGTGAACAAGCACAGCCACATTCAGCCCACGTGCCCATGAAGCTCACTTATACCACATTGAGGTGCTGCATGTCTTCCTTCCCCTAATGTTATGGGACTGGCTCAGACCCCTGCACAGCCTTTGCTCAGCTCACTCTGCCCACGCTCCACCTCAGCTAACAGCTCTTTGACATGACACTCTCACGCTGAGTGTCAGCTGGCAAACCCTGAAGAAAGGTAGCGAAGAGCTGCTGAGGATCTGGGCTCTACTAGTGCCAGCTTCAGGTTGTGCATGGCAGGACCATGTCTATTTCCCTGCTCTTCTTTCCCCTTTAGAAAATCCAAGTTAGGAATATAAAAGCAAGAGCAGCTGCTTGCTCTTCTTCAAGAAGCTGTGCTAGAAAGAGACAATTTGAAATGTTGCATCTGCATGGGAACAACATGGAGGACATGAGAGAAAAGTTTATCAGGAAGATGGGACAATATGCCTCCCGTTAACATACTGAAAATATCCATGTATTTTCCTCCTTTTGAGAGAGAAGGTGCCAAAAAACTGAACTATGTTGAAAGTAAACAGGTTTGTCTAATAAATGCACACCTATTGAAGAAGATATTTCTGATGCATAAACAAAGGAAAAACTATTCCAGATTAAAAAAAAATAAATTGTACTGGTTTGCAACTCTGAGATATCTGCACATAGACAGTATTGCAGCCCATTCAAATCACTTTTCTCATTATTGGATCACTTTCTATAACTATCTTCCATTTTATTAAATTGACTTGTCAGTAAATTACAGTTTTACATATCAGACATATTATATGAACCACCCATTACTGATTGAGAAACCATAAACTTCCACTCTGTCCCTGTTACATGTCCCTGTTACCCCAGGTTTTAATGCATACCAGGAAGTTTGATTTAAGTTTTTACTTTTATTTCCTCCAAGTACAATCTATGTGCTCCCTAAATGATTCCTCTCCCTACCCCAGTGCTATCTGGAATTCTGGTCAGGTATATGTGAAACCAGTTCCCTGTTTTGAAAACATTAACTCGGGTACTGCTGCTATCATTTCATCACACAATTTACATCTTTTAACCTTTACTCTTCTTGAACTCTTTTGTATGCCAATTGTCTACCAGCATGACACTGTGAATAATAAATATGCATTTATAATTTATTTTTCTTTTGAAACATTTTAACAACAATGACTGCAAACACATTATGTAGATCTTGAGCTAAGGTCACCTAGAGTGCTTGCTTAGTACATGAGGGATTTACACACCATGCATGTGTTCTGAAAATACGTAACAGTCGTGGACAAGGACAAACATGTACAGAGACAACACTTAAAGGAACAAATAGAAATACTTATATCATCAAAAGTGTTATGTTCATATTAGTATTAGGAAGAAAAGGAAACACTTTTAGGAGAACTGTGGCATATGCTACCAACTTTATGTCAAGGGACTAAAAAGCAAACTCTTGCTTTGTCTACAATCTGTTTCATTCACAATGAAATTCTTTTTTAAAATAATTAATTAATACAGTGTTACTATTTTGGGAGTCATAAGAGAAAACTGTTTCCTTTCTGCATGGGCAGACAAGAGTGCTTTTTAGAGAAGACAGGCTTTTTCCCCTGCTTTTTGGATATTTGTGATTCAGCTCTTAAGGTCACCAGCATATACAGCAGGATCACAGGCATTTCAGCACTAAGCATCTGCTTCAAGAGACCAGTCATGAAGAATTTATATGTATGCTAAAAGAGATTTTATGCTGTGTGTGCTGAATCTTCTCCTCACATGCTATCTATTAGGACACTTTTGCCTCCCTCATGCATCTTATAAGCCTGGATAGAGGGCTGCAGAAGAGGCATTACCTTCTTGAACATTCTGGTGGAGTCCTCACTTATCTGCATGAATCGCATGATCACATTGTTCAGGTAGATCTCACTCAGTGTGGCATGGTCTTTGCTTTCTCTTCTCACTTGGTTCAGGAGTAAGTACCAGCAATTCACTGGTGACAAGAGGTTCTGGTCTTTCCTGAGGAAGGAGATACACACATGTATAATGTATAGAAATGAAAAGGTTGTGTTATTAACTGAAACATCTCACTGACATTTACAGTCATAATGTGTTACATAAAAATAGCTACTTCTGAACAGTCTATCCATTCTTGGGATAACTCAGGTTAGGCAAGCCTCAGATGACTTTTAAGACACATTCAAGTCCCATGAGGCATGGACACTCTGCAAACCTCCTGAAAGTATAAAATATAAAATATCCTGCCACAAAGTTTAGAGATGGACTACATGTAAATGTTCAAAATCAGTGAAGGTCACTCCTGGAAGAGTAACAGTAATTAATTTTTGACATTAGAAATAAAAAAGTACTGAAAGCACAACCCAATTTCTTCATAAGCAAAATTGCAGATTTAGCTGTTTCACTGCATTGGATTTGTGTAACTGATGAAATAGAAGAAAATGTCTCAAGCATCCATATTCTGTGAGCAATGCTCATAAATTCACAGCATTAGTAAATACACTGCTACTGCTAGTCCTAGATGTGTCAATTACAAGACAAAGAGCAGGACTGGACTTTTTCCAGTGATCCAATTCTGAATTCCCATGACAGACTTTTTGCAATGCAGGCCCACTCCCAGCTTTAACGTAGCAAAAAGTGAAATCAAAGATGACTTCTCATTTCTTTTACACAAGGCAAAATAAAAATACATGTAGCTGAGCAACTATTTCAGAGACAACAAAAGATTTATAAAATTTGTCTTAGGATTTTATTGACATTTTAGTATAAATTTTGCCTTTCAACTAACTGCTCCAGAAACTTGCTGCTTTTTTTTTTTTTTTTCTCTCTTTTACAGTGATTCTCCTTTAGTTAAAAGGATAAAGCGCATGAGGATAAAACAGGCAGAAGTGGTGATGAATTCAGGGAGAAACTCCTGCAACTCTTGGCAAACTCTTCTAATAATTAGCTAGTCTCATTGTTAGAAATATGGCCTTTAATTCCCATCTAATTGTCTACTTTTAGCTCTCACCCTCACAATCAAAGCAACAGAGAATGATAACAGACAAAAGTCTTTTCTTAATCAGTGCTTTGCTTTGCTATGAATCAGAAGTTAAGAAAACTTCCTCCATTTGTTTCAGATAGACATCTTAACAGTGTTACTTCACAGCAAGGGGTTTTATCAGCCAGGTCAGACAACATGAGCACTCCTGAAGGGCCCGATGCTAGTTGGTCCTCACTGCTTCTGCATGTCCCGAAGCCGATTCAACAGACCTTCCTGATTGTTCTGGGAGCAATGGTGGGAACAGGAGACCAACAACTAAAGCCACTTTTGCTGTAACCTGTTCTCAAAGCAGAGAACTGCAAGAACAAAGCCAAAGGTAGAACTCAAGTCATAACACCCATGCACAGCTGCCAGTCTGGATTTAACATGTTCAAGAACAAGGAAAGATGTTTGTACACACAAGGAAAAAAGATTTTGCCAAAAGCAGAACAAAAGCCAGGGCTCTCTGTGAAGTGATGACATATGCACAAGTTGGTTATTTCAGAGAATCATTGAGTCACTAAAACGAATTTTAAGAAATATATATTAATGCTCTTTGAACTGTTCAAGCTGTATTTGATTAACCTTTCCTTTGCCAGATGTATTTGGAAAAGACTTTTGTCCTGAAACAACAGTTTTATCTGTGTATCTCTAGCACAGCACTGAGTGAACAGTAGGAAAATTATTTTTAGTTTTACGAACACAAAATACTCTTCTAAATCCTTAAGCGTAACAGGCCCAGACACATGCATTCATTAATCAGCTCAAGTCAGGAAAATAACCACATGAGACTATGTCAGCAAGTGATGCACATGAAGCATTTCAGAAAACATATTGTACATGTTACAAAACTATGGCATTAAAAGGATACATAAAAATGTAAACAATGCATAACGTTCACATCTTTATTCCCAGGAATCAGAGAGGTGAAGATGCAGCAAAGCTCACATGCAACAACAAATCAAAATAGTTTTATTTCTTAATGCCATTCTTGGCCAAAATTGTCTTTTTTGTTGTTGTAATGTTGACTGACCTACATGCAGATGCTTCAAAATCCTATCAACTCCACTAGAAATGAGCACACAGATTTTCAAGCTTTTGGAGCTCTGCATCTCTTCTAGACACTGGCTGTATTTTGGGTGGTTTAAAATCCATACGGTAGGTTAGGGATAATATCTGTGCAACTTCCCTTTTAAGAAACTGAAACTACTTGTCAGAAGCTGACATGAGTAACTGCAAGGAGCCACATCAACGCTAGTATTTAGGCATGCTCTACCTTCAACTGCAAGGAGAACTGCTATGCTGCTAAGCAGGGGTGGAAATTTAAAACAGGCTTTTGAACCAGCAACAGATACAATATGGGGGTGATGCGCAAGCAGGTTTCTCTTACTTGTACTGCTGATGATCCTTTGTACTCCTTGTTTTTGCCATGAACCTCTCTGCCAGTTTTTCCAGGTTTCGGGAATACTCCATCTCTATTTCCGACTTCTTGCGGAAGAAATCCTGCAGATCCTGAAGAAGCTGCACTCTCATTTCAGTCTGCTGCTCCAGGCATTTCTGTTGCTCAACGAGTTGAGCTCGGATCTCTAATGACAGAAACAAATATCCACTCAGGTCAGAGAGCAAATTCATTGAGTGTTACCAACCCAAATTACAAACACTCCAGTGTACTTCACCCTCACAGCTACACCAGCTGGAGCTGCATTTCAGGTCCCGTGGTGGGACACAGCAGTGGCAGCTCTCACTTCTGCCACCACATGTTTAACGCCCAGCATCCTCCCACCTGCTGTCTGTCTCACAAACAGCTGTGACAGGGGCTCAGGTGAGTCTCCACCTTCCTCTCCCATCCCTCTTCTGGCCTCTGGCACTAGCACAACATTCCACTTGGAAATGCAGAAGGTGGTGCTGCCCTGAAGAATGGCTGGATAAACAAGCACCCTTTGGGCCAGGATCAGCCTGCTGACTGTCAGGTGCTCTATCTTCATGTACAGCATGGAAACAACCTTGTGATAAACCCTGGAGGCATTATCCATTGTGACTGTGCACAGGTGAGCTTCCATGTCTGCCCTATCTCTGCCAGGGAGGGAACTGGTGTACTATACATGCATGCAGTAATGTTTTACAGCAAATATAGAGGAAAACATGTACCTATACTTAGAGACAACTATTCGAAAATTTGTACAAGGTTCCAGAGACTATAGTATATTTTTTAGAATTTAAAAAAATCATTTTAGAAGAATCTCAGTTTAGAAAAGAATATATGCTCACAGTTCTCTTCTAGAGTAATAAGGAAAAGCCTCCAGATATCCCACCACTTTTTGCCATATGCAAAATTACTATGTAATAGGGTTTTTATTTTAGAGATTTCTGGGGTTTTTGATTTTCTTTTATTTTGACTGGCAATTTTTTAGCACTTTTATTTCCTGAGTGCTAACCAGTTAAATACATTCTGAGAACGTTTAGTCTAAAAAGATCCCTCTGGTTCTTTAGAGTTCATTTCACTTTTGTCAGCTGCCCAGGCACTCCAATACTGTGGAGTAAAAAGAAGAGTAAACACTTCCTGACAATAATATACGTGTATATTTATTACACAGTTTAAAGCTATAATAAGGATTTATCAACAGCAAAACATCCAGAAGTGATGTCCATATAAATGCAAAATTGTTGTGAAATTTTACTTGATTCTTAATGACGTAACCATGCTGTGGGCAAAAAGATACTGGAAATCTTCAAAGCCCATAGCATAGTTTGAAAGAGAAGAGCATTCTAAAAGTCATACTAACATCACATGGAACTGCAAACCACTAAGCAGCAATAACATTGCAAAAAATTATCTGATGCAACTAGGATCTAATGCATCCTTACTGATCTTAGAGCAGGTATGAAGGCAGAGATCCACTCTGCTGGGATTCAAATGTGTGTACTGAAATAAGGTAGTACAAGCACAGGAAACTGTTAAACCAATATATTTGCTGGAGAGGGAGATACTGCAGTATTTTCTTCCAGATCTCCTGTGAGCTACCAGCTGCTGTGTTAATCATTAATGAGACCATCCATTTTTATAGTCTGGGAGGTGAACCAAAAAAAATTCATGGTTTGGTTTTCACTTCATTTCAAATCAGTTTGTTGGAAAAGAAACCATGCCTCCAGCAAGGATGAGCCACTGTAATACAACACTGTATCAATGACATTCATGTACACAGAGGAGAAAATCACATTGGAGCTGGAAGGTTAACAACAGAAACAGACACTCAAGACACTTTTTTAGGTGTCTACTATGTTAATATTGCAGTCATGGAAAAATCCTGTGTATGGGGAACCAGCTGTAGAGACCCACTGGTCAGAAGCAGCAATTTTGTATGTAAGCTGGAGTTTTCACTGAATCCAGATCCGTGTACATGGTCACTATACTTCAGCTGTCTCCCTTTCCCACTCAAGATTTTCTAGCAGTTACTTTGAAAGCAGCATTTTGTACAGAGCAACTATGTTCTGATTATTTTGTAGGTCAGTGTACCTTGCTGCTATAATTCTTCATTTTTAGGCAGGCTTTTACCATAGCAACAAGAATGAGAAATTTTAGAAACAGGAATATATGAATAGAAATGCAAGAAACAATGAACAACGGACAACAGATAAAATATGAGAAACTGCCTTAGCTTTTTGATGCTGTCTGGATTTCCGGTGGACAATAGTGGGTTCCTTCAAACTTGTATTTTAAAGAACAAAATTGAAGCATGATCTATGAAAGCTGATGGAGAGGTACAAGGTCTGAGTAAGGCTGGTAAAATTAGGGGCTCAGGGGGCTGCAGCTTTATGAAGGGAAGATTCCTAATTTCTGGTTATTTGAGTCTCAGCAAAGGGAAAGAACATGTTGATTCCAAAAGGCTAAGCCTGTGGCCTCCTGCCGGAGGAGAAAAAGGGGAGATGTACATCCCACTCATGCTAGCTGACCACAGTCAGTCCAGAAGCGACTTCAACAGCAGTTCTCCTTCCAGACTTTCATGTCATTCCGCTCCTCCATTTTTAAACTTTTACTAATGTGTAATACCATACTGGCAGGCTGAGGAGATGGCAATGAATAAGAAATCAGATCAGAAAATATTGTGATTTCCATTTTCTGACGAGAGCAGTGGATTAAAAAAAAAGCAAGCAACCAAACAAACAACAATAAAAACAACAATAAACCTCCAGAACAAGTACTGGCATAACAGGCAGGCAGCCTGAGCAGCTGTGTGTGACAAAATCACAACTGTCCAGGTACTATTAACTATAATAGACTACCCATTACCTACTGCTACAGAAAAATGCACCAAGGCAATGCTATTTTCTTTAACCAGTTTACATATGTGATTTCCCTAGGGCAAGAAAGAGTGGCATGGAAAATTGCTGCACTATATTCAAAGAAATAAAATCAGCATAGTCCAAACTCCATAGATACAAAAACAGGTGCAGCAAGTAAGAGAGGGGTGACTGTCTTTACTGTTATTTTGCTGGCACATTTAAATTCAAAGTTGAATTGGTACCAGTTGTAATGGGCAATGATATTGTCCTATTCTGCTCTGCTGAGTGGCTGATGTCAAATTTCCAGGCTATTTTGTGCAAGGAAAAGACCCGTTTAAACCCTGGATGAGTTAACACCTTCTCCTTCTTTCTCCTGGCAGCTTTGAGTCAATGCTCACTGGTTTTCTGGCCAGGGGCAGGCTCAAAAAGAATCCCATCCATTTATACTGCAGCTTGAACAGACTGAGATCACATCAACTGAAAAAAAAAAATTAAATCCACCCTACACTTTGTCCAATATCTGCACACAATCAAAGTGAGGAAATAGTTAATGAGATGGCAATTAAATCAATAAACTGAATAAAATTTTATTTCTAAAGATTTTTATGCTATGCCCTCACAGACACCCTCCACTAGAATTACTGCAATAAGTATAAAATTAGATTTTGTTTATGCCAGTTTTGAAAATGTAACTCTAACCTTTCAACAATTTTTTATTTCCTTGACAAGTGGTTAGATCTGCGCACCATGAAAAGTAAAAAGAGACAAGATTATAGTTGCTTTGAAAGTTAACTTTGAAAGTCAGAGCAGATGAAGCCAAACTGCTGATATCACCCAAATCATAATCAGAAATAACTCATCAAGGTTACCTCTTTGCACACAGTACATTATTACAAACAGTGACTTACGTGGCACTGCTGTAATACCCTGTACTACCCTGAGGAACACATACGGAACCAGTGACAGGCCAGTGTCCCCCGTGAAGGAACCTGTGAAGATACACTACAGTGTGACACAATCATAATGCTGGCTACACACCAGCATGGAATGAAGTTCTTCACCTTCACTTCCACACATAAAAGCACCAGACTCCACCAAACATCCCCAAAAAGTCAAAGGAAAGCCCCTCCTGACCTCAGTAGCTCACAACTTGTAAACACATGGTGTTAACCAGATTAACCCATGGACAGAGCAGCAGTGCTGCCCTGCTACTGCACTCCCCACCCCATCCCTGCAGTACTGCAGTGCTCCAGCCATGCTGCACTAGGCTATGCCTAAGCCTTTCACACCTTGGAGACCTTTCAGACCATCACAAACTCTCTTAGCAACACTCAAGCAAAGCAACTCTAAAGAATGCTTCATGGTGCCACCAACACACCTGCCTCAAGATGCTTCCTGCCTGAGCCACTCCAGGAGCTGATGCAGCCTGCCACTCTTAGCTCCCATTTAACTTTTGCGCTTGCAGAGCAGCCCTGACATGGGCTTTGGTGTTTGCTGAAAGCTCTGGAAAATGCCACAGAGCAGGACATGCCTCCCCAGTCACCCCTCTTGGCTCACAAGCCTCCCACCCACTGCCTCACCCTGCCTGGCAAGGAGCTATATTTAAGTCATGATTACCATACACAAACTATGCAGACATATTAACCCAGGGGTATTACTGGATAATCATACCAACAGCCTTGAGGCCTCACCCTTCAAAAGATCACAAAAACAAGTAACTCAACAGAACTCTGAGAGTACAGAGGCTCTCACAAGACATAGTTATGTTTGCAGGTTTTATCTCTTGGGTAACCAGACAAAGCTGCATCACCTCCCATTTTTCTCCAAATGTCTCCTTCACAAAAACAGCTAATTTTAAATGCCTCAAAAATGTCTCATCAAATGCACTAAAACCTATACATGGTATCTTAGACTTTGCATTTCTAAACCATTACACTTAGTAATTTTTTTTACACCAGTGAGCTATCAACACAAGTATCCTTCATTGTCATGCCAATGATATCCAGATCATACTTCACAGGAAAAGATTCAGACCTTAAATTCAGCCTAGATATCATCTGGCGACCAACATGCATTTGTAATTAAGCAGCTATTGCAGCATTAATCATCTCGCAGTTCCTCCTTGAAGACACTTGAGTCTTATATGCCTCTCATTGTGCCCTAGTTATTTAGCATGAAGAATTGCTCATGTCTACCCCTGCTGCTAGAAGCTGGGGTGCTGCAAGAGGGGACTGATCATTTCAGTTTCATTCAAACCTCTGCCTTTGTAAGGACTTGGTTTTGGCTTGTCAAGATGAGCAGAGCT